TTATTTTGATTATACATTCAGGAAATACTGCCTTGCTTTTTATGTAATATTTGAATAAACTAAACATGGTTTATTTATTAATCTAGAACATTTTGTCTCCAAGAAAGGAGTTAGGAAATAATTTACGAAATTGGCAACTTAATTTATAAAGGTGTGTGTAGCAAAAAACACATCATATCAAACCAAATTAAATAGGCAAGCAGAAGTAAGAAAGAGCGACATCTGTTGGATAATTTAGAAATTACAACGTTTCAACTTGCTTCCAAATGGATTAATATATTGTTTTCTATTCACACATCAATATGAATGAAATACATATTTTTATCTTTTCCTTATCTTAATTAACTTTTACAATGATTGAAATGCATATAAGAATAACAAATTATTCGTAAATAAACAGTTTGCTAGAGATTTTTTTAATGTTACTATGTTTTATTTTGTTTTATAAATTTTTGTTTTAAAAGTTGGCAATTTTAAGTTTTACTAATAAACTGATATTGGGCGAAAAATTCTAGACGCGATCTTGTATTTAGATCTCGGGAAATTCGCTGGAGGGGACTCCTGCAGGCTTTCCCAAGAACGTCACGACGCCCGTGAAAATTTTTCAGCAGGATAATAGAACAAGTAAGAGATATTCGATAGATTTTTCACTACCTACCGCAGTGTAAAACCGAATAAAATACAATACAGGTAATGTCATAATAGCTGAATAATTGATATTAGTAAAATTACCTATCACGAACTGTAACATTTTCATCTAAAAATTAAGGACCTACAGATATTTCAAACGTTTAAATAAATCTGTTAATGACATATTTTTTATTTTATTTTGTATTCTTATATTTGATTTATTTAATTACCTTTTGAATTATTTATTAATTATTAGTAATTCTATTTTAAATTGATAAGGATAAATATAACTGAGAAGCAATGCAGGTTGCTATAAAGCCCTTTTGAAGATTTTAACTGACATGGAATCTAAAGAAAATGTATTTATGTACATATTTTTCATAGTCAGATATTTATATAAAAGCTATTTAAATCTGTAAAATAATGTTTTAAGTTTATTAATATATTCAGTGTTCTCCTGAAATTAAAGAGAACTTGCATATAAAAAGAACTGAGTATATTATGAAAACACAAGTATATTGATATGTTTGCTAGAGGCTAGTCAAGGTATAAGTATTAATAAATTAGAGTTAGAGGAGTGGATATATAATACTCTACCCATTGTAATCGATATTTATCTACCACCCTTGTAGCTTGAGGGTAGTGCCGGCGTCTTTTCATCGAAGCGTCGCGACGCCGATAACGGAACATATTAGGATAGCATAAAACAATCGCGGTACATTTTCAGCATCAAAGCGTTTAGTTTGCGCTTCAATATTTATTAAGAACAGATACTTGTCCAAATATACAATCGTACCTATACAAAATTAATCTATAAGAGAAAATGTTTATACAAATGTAGGTGGAGGAATTGCCCCATTGATGAGAGTCCTAAAGAAATACGACAATAATGACATTACCTGATAGCCACAGCAATCAACATCTTGTTTTCATCTCCTACTGAACTCAAAGTTTCAAATCCGTGACATTGCTACGCCAACCGAAACATACAGACCTGCAAATAATGCCATTTTTCTCAAGAATGGCTTTCTGTAGGAGATTTTCTCAAGGGACAATATTTTTTTTTAATAAAACGATCTTTTCAATGTCGCTGCCCGTTTTAAAAAAATACGACCACTGTAAAAGTTTTGACCGCTAAAAGGGAGAGGTAACCGGAGAAAACTGTCACCCAGTATATCGTTTGACTAAAGTTTTAAGAAATAATACCTCATAATAGTTCAAATAAATGTGCCAAATTTGAACGCGATCGGTAAAAGGGTTATGAAGTTACCAATTAAATTACTTTAATTTTTGATAATTTTGAAGACCTTTAACTCAAAAACCAAAAAGTTTTTATTTAACTTGTTTTTCGTAGATCGTATTTATTTATCGTCGTTAATGTGCAGTCAAACGTTGTCGGTGAATTTTGCGGACACTCTGTATATGGAAATAAAAAAATTAACAAGATATACTTCAACGAAAATAGCCACCAACTCAATTCCGGAGTTCCCTAGTAAAACCCGTAACCCGGAAGTTCCGCCGTCACGGCGGCAGAACTCCGGAGAGTATTTTCACTAGGGCAGCAGGAGCTAGAAGAGACACAAGGGGTGCTCTATCACCCCTATCGCAATGGAAGCAGGAATATCGACTCGACACATTTAAGTAAACGCCTTTTTATTGATCGTGCCGTTCCGCGCTGTAAAACGCATCTTTGCCATGACAGATCAGTGTTGCCACCCTGTCAAGTATATCCTGCGATTTTAGCAGGGTATTCCCCATTCCAAAAATATCTCGAAAACAAAAACAGATATGGGGAAGAGAAAGAGAATGGGAAAAAGGATTTGATTAAAATCAAGTGGATATTTACAATTTTTAGCGAAGAGAAACGAAATTTGGCTTACACTCAAAATTCGAGTACTTTATACAGGGTGTTCCGAAAATAAATGTAAAAAAATTGTTATGTGGTTTTATTTTATAAATATGTACAATGAAACAACTTTCTACCAACTGTTTTCAATAACTCAATTTTGAGTGAGTTACATAATTTTTTATATAATGTTTTGTTACTACTTATTTATCAGTCAAACGATTTTTAAATTTGCTACAAAAGTTGCTATAAACTATACTTACATATAGTAACAAAATCGTGAAAAATTATTTAAAATATTAAATAATTTGATAACAATAATATTAGTAAGATATAAATACCAATACATACATACTGTATTTTCAAGTTAATCGATTTTATGACAAAATCAATTTTATGAGACAAAATCGAATTTATGTGACAAATCGATTTTATAAGACAAAATCGATTGTATGAGACAAAATCGAAGTTATGAGTCAAAATCGATTTTTTATGAGACAAAAATATAAAAATATTTTATTCATATTCATATACATACTGTGTTTTCAAATTAATCGATATATACATAATGTGTTTTCAAGTTAATCGATTTTATGAGACAAAATCGGTTCTATGAGACAAATGGATTATATGAGGCAAAATCAATTTTATGAGACAAAATCAATTTTGAGATCAAATCGATTTTATGAGACAAAATCGAATTTATGCGACAAATCGATTTTATAAGTAAAATCGATTGTATGAGACAAAATTGAATTTATGAATCAAAATCGATTTTTTATGACAAAAATATAAAAATATTTTATTCATATTCATATACATACTGTGTTTTCAAATTAATCGATATATACATAATGTGTTTTCAAGTTAATCGATTTTATGAGATAAAATCAATTTTATGACAAAATCAATTTTATGACAAAATCGATTTTATGAGACAAAATCGATTGTATGACAAAATCGATTTTATGAGACAAAATCGATTGTATAACAAAATCGATTTTATGAGGCAAAATCGATATTTTTATGAGACAAAAATATAAAAATATTTCATTCATATTCCACATTGTCTTAAATATCTAGAAAGTTGAAAACGACTCACATAGGGATATTACCAAAAATATTTTTTTTCTCCGAATAGATAAATAATAGAGGAGTAGTAATTCTACTGAAAAAGGTTTTACACTCAATCTCCGCCACTGGACTACAACAGTGAGTGAGTATTGCAGATGTAAAATATGTATGGTATATACAGGGTGTTCTGAAAGTTCCTAACGAAACTTGATTAATTGCAGAAAGAATTAACAAAAATTTGTTGTTTAATAAAACTTTAATAGCGATTTCCTGCTAAACGGTTACATTAAAATTTATCGGCTTGAATAAAGAGTATATAGATTCTTCTGATATTGTTTCTTTTCAATAATTTTTAAATTTCTGCGATGTCTAACAAGAGGAAAAGTTATGAACAAAACAAAGTTTTAGGTAAAGTGCCCTCTACCGGCGCATAATGAAACTTTTCTCTGACTGGTCCAATAGAGCTTCATCTACTCAGTGGGTGTACCAAATGAGAGACTAATCAAACTTGGATTACGAGTAAATAAATTACAGATAATTAGGAATAGATGCGGCATGCGGCATGAAAAATTATTAAAAGTTAAAAATTATTGAAGTTGTAGTACATTCAACCATTACATAACTATACAACTATAATCTCTAGCGCTATTCGCAATACGCGTGGAGAGCCACGTGACCTCAGGCACGCCGAATACTGAAATCTGATTTTACAGTTGTCGTTGCCATAGTGTTTACAATAGTTTTTAGTAGTTATTGTCAAAAATGGCTGCTTGTATAGCAACTCGGAGTTGATGGATATCGTTCTAATTTATGGTGAAGCAAGACAGCATTTTGTAGTATGGTGAAGCATTTGTTTTATGGTGAAGCAAGAACATTTGTGTTAGTTCGTAGAAACTGAGTAGGACGGACCCAAATGTGATATACTCCAGCAGCTTGGTACAACCTTTTCTTCCTTAAAACTTTATCGACCTTCAAAAAAATTGTTCTTTTTATTTTTTTTAAGATTATTCCGGCACTTTAGATGTTCCAATGAAATTTCACAGTGTTCAAGTTTTTCGGGTAATCAAATATGGACATGAGTTTATATTTTAATTAAGACAAAGGTAAGACAGTTTCTTTACCATAATTCTTTTGTTGGTAGACATTTTGTGAATTGTACAGAAAAATGGACCTCAAATTTTTACTTCAGTCTAATTGAACTTAACTTTTTTGTTAAAGCAACCAAATTATTTTTTTTTAACAATAGCTGAGCCATACACACTCGAGTATTTGATAAGCCAATGGCAAGCTCCTAAAAAAATGAAATACATTTTAGGACATATAGAAATCGACATATCGATTAAGCTTAAAATCTGTAGATCTACGGAAAAATCATAGAGATGGCAACCGCGCGGCTAATGCTTGGCGTCACCGAGTACGAATATTTGTTATTCGCGACCGCCACGTCAGTGATTAAACATTTGCGTTCGTGTGTGAATAATCGGAATGTTTCGACGGGTGTAAATTTACCCAACCAATCATTATAATGCCAAACGTATCATTTTCCACGTTATTGTCGAAAACGTGACGGTTAACGTCGGGATATTTAGTGAATTCACTCGCTTTAGTTATTCTCATAGTAGTCGAAATCCCCGACAATGCAGTGGTCGAAAGAGAGAGTACTGAAATTCCTGGAGGTCTATCGTACGCAACCGTGTATTTGGGACCCGAGACACCACGAGCACAAGAATCGAAGCACCGTCGCCGTCGCCTGGCAGAACATCCACGACATTCTGAATTATAACTGCACGGTGAACGAGCTGAAGAAGAAAAGGGACTCGCTGATGGCGTCGTTCAGGATGCTCTTAAACAAGAAGAAGAAGTGCATGAATTCGAACAGCGAAGAACTGTTTGAGCCTCACTGGTTCGCTTACGAGACCATGGCGAAATTTCTTGGGCCTATTTACTTCTGCCGAACAGAAGTAAAATAGTTTTTTTTAAAAGACGGCTTTAACCCTTGTTGAAAAATAAACTACTTTTCTTATTTTTGCCAAAGAACCATTTATAGAATTTAAAAAAATAATAGCACTTTTTGCACGTTCAGATAATTTGACACCTTTACTGAATTTGTTGACATTTGTAAGTGACGTTTACAAATTGGCGATCGGTAAGTGATTACGTATCGATTAGGGGGGTAGGGAGGGTGGGAGGAGGTAAGTAGTCTAATAAATGTAGGATTTTAAAAATCAATTTTTATTAAAGTTTATTGGAGCAATCGAATTCCGATTTAAAACAACGTTCTCACTTAAAAATCTATTGCAATGCATTTTTAAAAAGGATGAGCTGTTTAACTCGTGTATTTGATTATTTCAACCCCCTACAAAAACGCTTCAGGCTTTAGAAAATTAGAAAAAATTTAGTTTTTTTAACAGATTCACCAAGCTTGGCTTCTTTGGCTTGATATACATTGAAGATAAAAAAGGAAAACATTTTTTTAAATTTTTAGTGAGATGTAACTTTTCAGGGGAAAATTTCTTTAAAAAATTTTATACCAAAGACCCCTATTAATTTTCATCAGGGAATCGCCTCTTACATTTTTTCGGTGTTATTTAGATACAACCTGTAAAGTTTTTCCCTTCTGCATGCGCCTATTATTCCAAATATAATTCTCTTATTTCCCTTCTGCATGCGCCTTTAATTCCAAATATAATTCTCTTAATACAAGCAATAAACATATCATATTTTGAAGTATCAGTTTTATGCAAAAATATCGTGGTTTTGAGCTTAGAATATTTAACCCATAAGCTTCCTGGAGATTTTAGCGTTTCATTTCTCGAAAAAAAAATAGGCTAGCATTACCTTTTATGTGATATTTTCAAAATTTATCTTGTTACATCACGTTACAAATAGCTTGAAGATTTTCGCATATCTCTCTTTGATGGACTTCTCGGGAATTATGACAGCATCCTACTTGCCAAATATTTTCTACGTCTGAGTCGTCACTTTCTTGAATCATAACTTACAAGAAGCTTAAGGTGTGGCAAAAATATTATCAGTAATAATATAACAAGAGAGTGAGAATAAATTGAAAATAATTTGACAGATTTTTTGAAAACTTGTTGCCAGGCAATAGTAACGAGAGCCTGCAGGGCTCGAGTGGCTATTTCCAAATGGCAACAAGTTTGAACAAAATCTGTCAAATTATTTTCTAATTTATGGAACTCGCGAGTTATATTTGACTAGATTATTTTTTGATTCACAAATTTTTACAATAAAAAAGATCAATAACACTATCATAAAACTATTGAAAAATTTAATTTAATTAATTATTACAATATACGAAAATATCGTTGACACATTGTTAATATATTAAAAGAATTTACAATTTAAATTAGTACAATGAAAAACGCAATTATTAAAAATATTTCGAGAGTAATTATTTATTGAGGATTTGGAATTGCTTGTTATATTAAGTGTTTCCTCCTGCGTATTTTCTCTAAGATTATTTATTATATTTGAATGATGTTCTTGGTTCAATTGTAAGTATGGTTTAATCGAACTTGCAGAATTATGACCAGTGACCTTGATTAGTTCTTGTTCTCCTACACCAGCTTTTGAAAGGTTACTTACTGCACTTGATCTGGCAGAATGGTTAGTTATTTTTTTAGTAACTGTGTCTAGACCTACTTTTTCTGCGGATTCTTTCATCCATTTTGAAATGGAATTTATTCCCACAGGAACGTTTTTATACCAAGAACCATGAGTTTGCCAAGCCGGATTTGGAGTAAGAAACAAGCGTTCGGTTTTAATATTTTCTTCACGTTTACCCATTAGTTTTTCAAAAAGACGAACAGGGCAAATATCTGGGTTATTTATGTTTGGAGTCAACCATTTACTATTAGCGCACCTTTGTGCTCCACCCTGTGCAGTTTTTGTAAAGATGGGATTGTATTCAATGCGGCCAGTATTTAATCTTATTATGTCGGTTTCTTTTTTAAAATAATGAACTAAACATTTCGTAGCTTCTCCTCCCCTCCAAGCTAGTTCATACGATGCAACGTGAAAAAACTTTCTTTGCAATCCACAAGGTGTATCTTCGTCCCAATAGTTAAAAATTTGCAACAATTCTGTATTAGAAAGTGCCACAGAACTTTGTTTGTGCTTTTCAGGATGTTTTTGTAAAATTTTTCTTTTTGCATCTCTTGCATTTCGAGCATTTTTGAATTCTATATCATGGAAAGGATCAAAGGACCTGTTATACTTATTAAAGTAAAGTTCTTGAACTAATTTTGCCGTTTTATTCCACATTGTCTTTATTACTGCTTCTTTATAATCATTTCCGTCTTTTCTTTTCATGTTATAAGCCCAATCTTTCAAAATCAATGCCAGAGTAGCTGTTGTAGTAGATTGATCCAGAATATAATTTCTTTCTTTGGTGAAGGTCTTAAATTGTCTCCATATAGACTGATTACTTATTAGAGTATTTTTCGAAGTAGTTTCTACAATCTTTTTTGTTATTTCTGCATCAGAAAAGGTACTAAACCGATGATTTTCACCCATTTTATATATCGCGTTGACACAATTAGGTAATTATTTTGACAACTATCTGACACTTGTTACGCAAATAAAAGCCACAGTGATTATTCCCGAGAATAATCACAAGAGATTTATTCCCACTATAATAATGACATAATTGGTTGAAACTTACGGTTGTGACAAATAAAGAAGCATTTCATTGGTTTTAAGAAACGTCAAAAAATAATCGTGGAGAAATTGCTAATGAAGGAGATGTCACTTGGCAATAAATATTCGGCCACATAGTAATCAAAGCGAAAACTTTTTCATGTACGACTTGTTTGTCTCGTACATTTTCAAAATATTAATTGTTTTAGCTTTAATTAAATTTATTCAATATTTGAGCGTGCAAAAAACGTCATAAGCATTGCGGTAAATCAATGTCCTGTACTGGTTTTGGATATTTTGGAGATCTCAACTTCGTTTCGATCTCTAAACATATCCTCAACCAGTACATTTACTGACCTTAATACTTAATATACTATTGTTGTTTTGGAAACCTCAAAGTATTTGAGATACAGGGTGTGAAAGTTTAAAAAATATGTTAATTACCTTTTTAACATAGTACATTAGTCAAATTTTCAATTCAAACCAATGACGTAGACTTACGTTTGCAGATTATACATATTTTCCTCAAAATTGTGGCACAAAATAGAAATATTTAATTTTGAATGAAAGTGATCAGTTGACTTTTTGCATAGCTTTAACATTTTTGACACGATTTGAAAAAATATAATAATGTTACTGTATCTCAAAAACGCTGGAGTTTCGAAACGACGTAAATTGCCATCCAAATTTCCTTGTGACTTTATATTATTGTGTTTTCAGAACACATCAGTCGAGGAGACAGATACCTACGACGAAGAAGTCGCATGTTTTAAGATTGAGGATTTAAGTAACGATGACACTTTCAACTACGAGAACAATGAAGAGATAAATGGTAAAACTATATCCCCCAAAAGAAATAGCAAAGTTACTTTTATTTGTCAATATTTCAGATAAAACTTCCTCGCAACTTTTTTCCTTTCCTTCAAATAGACTAAGAGACATAAACGAGGCTGAAGAATACACGGAAGAAACTTATCACATACCAAAAGCGGTTCCAAAACTGCCAAAACGGAAGTGTGCTAATGAAGAGATAGACGACTGTGATTTGTACGGACAGCTTTTGGCAAGGAAATTACGTAAGTTCAGTGAACACCAAAGGGAAGAGATCATGTTCGAAATAGACGGGTTAGTTATTCAAAAGAGGAAGGCTGCCATGCTACGAACGTTAAATATGTCGAAGCTTTCATCTGCAGAAGTATCTCATAGTCCTCGTTCAACGACGACGTCGTCGGAATATTCCTCAATGGAGGGAGCTACGTAGCGTCTCAGATGAAACATCCCTTCTTCTTCTTCTTTTCAGGATCGTTGTGTTTCAAGACATCCCATGTGCTTTTTTTAGTACGATTATTTACTCTATTCATTTTCTAATACAAATATATTCTTTTAATGCAGTTATTTTCTAGGTCTTTCTTTGAATTTTCTTAAATTCTTGTGAAATAAAGTTTCTCTTTAATACCAAATATGCTAAAGAAATAAATTCACAGACCTTGCTTGTCATTAATTTAAAATAAGAAGTAATATATCCAAAAGTACTGTAACAAAAGCCGGGACGCGTAGTAATTTATTTATTAGTTCTCGGAATGGATGGGCCAAAAAGTAAAATATTTCAGTCAACACTAATTATCGAAAGTTAAAGGCTCTCAAGTAGGTTTAGCGTCGGCCTTCGGAGAAATTTAGCAATATTTTTTGAACAAGTTCACTCAGACCGTCGCCGTCGGGGCCATGTGACAGTCATCTGTCGCGTCCGGGAGGCGCCAACCTATGCTGGGACAGAACAAAGAAACCCATATTTTTAATAACGCGCGAAACTACGAGAAAAGCGTAGAGGTTCCAAATTAGAGTTAAATCAAATTGTTAAATTGATAATAAATGGAAAGGAAAGTAATAGGTTAAATAGCTGGTATTTAGGCGGATTTTCCAAGCTATTAAGAATATATTAAATGAGATTGACTAATCCGTCCCGTATTGCCACACGGAGTCACTAGAGGAAGGCTAGGGTTACTTATAAGTTCAGTTAGTCACATAATTATTTATATAAATGTAAGTCCAGTCAATTAGGTAATTTTTAGCATAGTATAGTTATACCAAAGCGTCCCGATATTCAAGTTCCCGCCAATAAAATAAGAACAGAAACTTCAGGACCCAAGAAATGACGTGTCGAATCCAGGAGAAATCTGAAAAACAGGCAGTTTTTCCTTAGGTTCCACATTGAGCAGTCGACTTAGTCATTCCAAATTTTGCTATGGATCGCGCATTTCCCGAATCTCGGTACGCAGTTGCGTGTAAATAAATACATTAATAATGTTGTTCGATCCCGTTGTGTCGTTAGTTTGTTTGTCTGTTTGTTTTGTTTTTATTGTTATTAAAACCCTTCCTGGAAAGTTGAAATTATTGTATAAAAACCAGCACCTCTATACATATACAGGAAAAATGTGTGAAAAAATTTTATAGGAACTTTCCCACATTTTCCCGGACACCCTGTAGAACAATATTTTAAAAATTTTTATAATGTCAGTTATCTTTTGTTGCACTTAAATTTAATAATAATGATATAACAAAGATGCAGTTGTGGATTGAAACATACAGTGCCGATATTACTTCAAAAGTATTATCTAAAAAAAACATTGAAGCAAAGATACAAGCTCTTCTCTGGGAAATTATTGAGCAACAATTCTTAAATTTTGTTACCTCACAAAAGTATCCAATATAATTAACCACTTTTTGTACAAATGTGACAAACACAATTCCTTTTCGAATCGTGTCAAGTACCTAAACACGAAAACATGTGCAATTGCGGACGTGTGGAATGTAAAAATAACAATAATTTCGTATTTCGCCATTAAAGGACTGGTATTTAGTGAGTTAATGGGTAGTAATGGAATAATAATGCCACCTCACTAGCGCAAGGATATGTTCCTAATCATTCGTGTGACAAAATTGTTTTTATGAATAAAAATGACAATAAATGATCGCAGTGGAAAAAAGTGAATACCTCTGAAATATGTTGATTCGATATTTAAAAAAAAAACTTGACCCGGATTATTATTATCAAAAACAAAATTAAAATTCGTCACAGCAGAAACTTTCAGCGCAGTGGTCTAGAAAGAAATTATTATGGCTTCGCGAATGGTAGCAAACGCAGCTGTTATTTAATTTTAAGATCACCAAAAACCCTCTTATTGTTTAAATGTTGTCTAACAGAAAAAACGGGTTATAGTAATTAAAAATATAAACTAACTTTCAAGTACTATAGTGCACTTAAGTTATGTCATTATTAAAATTGCATGTACATCAGTCTCAGACATTCCTAGCTTCAAACCTGTTTATAATTTGACTAGACAAAACCAATAAGTTAAGTCTCTAATTATTTCATATCTTTTAAATGTTGTGTTTATTATTATAATGGTTGTTATTAGCGCTGTTGAAAAGCTCGAATTTAATTTGTTTTTTACATATTTACATTTTTGGCTTTTATTGCGCTTTATTAATAGTGTTTTATTGGTTCAAGAGCGCCGATTAAATAATTTTTTATGTAACACTACCTGGTTCTAAAATTTTAGGAATTAAATAAATAGAACCAAACACTTACATTCTGTCAAAAAAGTATACGGAATTCGTCAATAAAACACAATATATTCAATTAATCATCAAAATTTACTTTGTTTCTTTCAAAATAGGCTCCATTTGAAGCAATACAATTTTTCCAATGAACAATCCATTCGTCAAAGCACTTTTTAAACGCAAATATCAGTATGAACTTCAACTCTTTCAGCAATTTTTGTTTTATGGCTTCTATCGACTCGAAACATTTTCCACGAAGTGGTAACTTGAATTTGGGAAAGAGGAAAGTCAGCAGGGGCCATATCCGGCGAATACGGTGGCTGCTCGGCGACATTCGTTGAGTTTTTGGTTAAAAACTCATTTACAATTGTCGCTTTGTGTGATGGTGCATTATCGTGATCCAAGAATTGTCCTTCCATAAATCTAGTATTTGCGGCGGATACTTTATATCAAACGTTTCATAATGCCCAGATAATATTCTTTGTTGACTGTTTCTCCATCCGCAAGGAAAAATACTTTAGTTGTTCAAGTATCCATAGTACAAATGGAGGAACACATTTAAGGTGGACTAACAAAATCAACAGCTGTAAGCAAACTACTTGACAGATCGCGCCGAAACGTCGTCTCAGAATACAGTGCTACCAACTTTCCATCAAAAAAGAAATTTTATCCAACACTTGTATATATTGATACTATAATTTCTTTGGTTTTAAAAGAATAATGTGGCCTATAAGTCACTAGTGAGTTATAAGTAAAAAATCACTAGTAAGTTATGACTTATAACCCACTAGTGACTTATAGAAATCAAAAAAAGACAAATGTTTGGTTTATTTTTCTAGTTTTTATTAGAAAATAATAATTAAACAAATAATCTAAAATGCTACAATCTTACAATCTACATACTTGCCATGCCCTGTATATAAATTAGAATCTGTCAAGCCCAAAAATCGCGCAACAAGATTGGGGGTTTTTAATAGCTTATTAATACCAACACATTGATGTGTGCATTTTCCCTTTTGAAAATTGCAAGAAAACCTTTTATGCTGCACATTGTGAGACCTTAGCTTAGAATATTTTCTAATTAATTCAATTGAATTAACACAAAATCCTTCATTTAACATAGCGGAACTTCTTGGTTTGTCCGTTTTAGTATTTGAAATCATGAAGTGGATATACTGCCCTTTGTCCTCTATATTGTATATGCTTAGATGGGTCAATTCCTCGCAACGGCAAGCGCCAAAAACTTCTAATATCAACGCCAAATAAAAACAACAAATTTAATAAATATAACTCAGTTAAACTATTCAGTAGAACCTACCTTATTCATAAGGTGATCTTCACGCAAAAATTGTTCGATTTGTTCTCTTTCTAAGACCTTGATTTGGTTGAAAATGTTTGTACATATTTAGACTTTAGAACTTAAATTGAAAAAGATAAAATAAGCCAGCAAAACATCTTCATTTACGCCTTTCACGCCTTCTTTAATTTTCCAATCTTGAAATTCCTTCAATTCTTTGTTGTATATAGATTTTGATTTCTCTGGAATGATGCCTGCAACAACCGCATTAGCTTTTTCTAAAATTTCAGATGGACTTTCCACATTTCCCATTTTTCCAGTATTGGCTTTAGGATTTCAACGTGAATTCAACTCAAAAAATATTGTTTCTTTACTGACAACCCTTGGTTACAAACACAATTTACACTCGCATCCTTTGTAATATCTAAAAATACATTCATTTCGTTAAATTACTTTTTCTGACGTTGACAACTTTTAAGAGACTTTTATTTATTATTAAAACGAAATTCTATGAAAGTGTTGAATAAAATTTTGTGTGGCACTCGTGTGTTATGTCATATAAGTAAGTCACTTGGGAAAATTAGCTAAACATTTCCCAGCGTGACATATATACCGTAACACACTAGCACCATAAATAACAACTATAAATCTACTTTACGCGGAATTTTTAAATGCCAAATTCCGGATACGTTTTGACAGAATGCATATGCAATATTATCTGGATTTTTTATTTAAGCCTCAGTTAGTATGATGTTCTATTAGTTCTGTGAACTATATTTAATAAGTCAAACCAAACATCTTTTGACTAATTAATTTGAGCTTCTTTGTCACAGTTAAATCTTAATTTTATATTAAATTTATATGGAACCAAACAGTTTTGAACAATCTTATCTCGACTTTTATTTTGCATTGTTTGAACGTTCTATATTAATTTAGATTTAATTTAATAATTAATCTTAATTTAATTAAGATTTAATAATAGACCTCTGCTTCTATATTTTGCTTCCAATACACTGTCCATCAGATTGACTTTAAAGTGCATCTATCCCAGATTTTCCTCTATTGTATTATTTATTGTCTATTCTATTATTATCGCCTATTTAAAGTATACATAAAATCGCAATATTTTCTAAATTTAGCACATGTGATAATAAAATAAACCATTAATCCTCGTGTGGACCGCTGTTATTTTGCAATTGTTAGACCGTAAACGTGAATAAAACACGATTTGTATATCCACGTAATCTGTTTATTACACACTATTATAATATAACACAAACAAGCCGGGATCCAGAACCGTTTCAACTCGTTAGTACTCAGTTGACACCATCTTTTAATTTAGCGTTAATAAACAAGTAGGTTTATTTTACTAAAATGCTGTAACGAGAATAGAACGAAGCTAATGAACCACAATAAAAGTGTTGTGGCTAGCTTTCAGTTTGTTATGCAAAATTAATTTGTTTTCTTAACTGTAATTTGATATATTACGTAAAGCATAACAAATGTAGATCAGAGCAAGATGAAAATAAGTTGTGTGTACGACTGTATGTTAATTTTAACTCAAACATAAAGGGTGAAGTCGCTTCCTGTATATACATCATAAAATTTTCAAGTTATGTTCGTAGTTACTGATGTGGAGACGATATATTTCGTTTGTCTATCGACGTGAATGCATCGTAAACTAACGTGATAGGTATATATTTATGTTACAGTGAACAACATTTCAATCAAGGACTTTTGATTAAGTACTATATTTTTCTTACCAACTCCATATCTGGTTTTCCCACTTGCAACTGTGAAAATGTATAGCTGTAATTTATAAATATTTCCGCTCACTAAATGAAAAAAAATTGAACAGGTTCTGCCAGAAAATTAATTGTAATTTCTACTAGAAAAAAGATTCAACCTTTTGCTTCAGTAGAGAAGATAAACATTGTGTTCAGTAGGTCAAATTCGAGTAATTTCGAAATGTTAATTGAAGGATGATATTTTTTGATGGGATTGCAATTTTGCAATCATTTGGAATTGGGATTTGAGAGAGATTGATTTAGCTTAACAATAAGTAATAAAATAAATATTTTTTTAATTACATTCCATACTTTTTCTAACATGCCCTTATAAATAAAATTCAAATAAAAAGAAAATAATAATTAGAAATAAAGAATAAAATTTACTATAAAAAAATATAAAAATTAGTACCGGGTTGTTGATTATAAATGTCATTATACCTTTCTTTATTTAAAAAAGCTAAATAACAATAGAAATATTTTGGGACATTGAATTTTGTTCAGTTGTTTAATGAAAAATAAAAAAATATGACGGAAAATCAACACCCAACTTCAAGACCTGATAACTGCAGGATGAGCCCAGGAAAAATATACAGAATGTACCTTTATTAGTCTGCCAAATATGGTGCTTCTTAATAAAAATTAATGCAAATTGCTCAAATGAGCTGGCAGTACCTAATTGCAACTCTTTCCGAAGATGTAGCAGATTGAAGATGATTTTTTCAATGCCACTTTGGTTAAAAAAATGTTACCTTAGCATAGAAGATTGATGGCAAATGCTAAAGAAAGCAGTTTTCAAGTAATTATCAACACATGAAAGAAAGCTATGTTTATATACGTCTATTCAATACCTCCAATGGGTCGTAGGTACTTACATAATAAAATAAAAGAAAAAGAATACAGAAAAAAACAGAAACAATTAATACCTACTAAAAAAAATAGAAACTAAATAATGAGCAACATATTAACTAGTAATATTCAGTACCTATTTACAAACATTTATAACTTATACCAAATTTGGACCTAATAATTTAAAAAATATATGATATATCCAGCAAAATATATTTTTCGTGACAATATGTAAGTATGTTGGCCCCCTATTAATACATTCAAATGGTAGACACAAAATATACACGACGGTAAACAGTATTCTAGCAATGGAATCTTCATGGATATATGTTTAATTAATTCGCATGCAGATGGCACCAATATATAATACTAATTGACTTGCCTGTAACATATTGTTTTCCAAGAAATTAATATTTTTAAGATAATGTACAGGGTGTTCCCTAGACAATAATAACCAAAAAATTATTATTTTTAAATATATCAAGAAGGCGTTGTGATAAAATATACTGTTTTTCCATAAACATGGGCAGAGGGAATTTTTTTCCGGGATAGCGGGGTTAAACTTAAAGGGTTTGTCATATTTATTCAAATATCGGTAAAGATGTTTGATGTAGGTAGATGAAAATTCAATGAATCGGTAGGTATACAAATGTGTCAACCAGTAGCGGGGATAATTAGAGGCACTACTACACTTTTGCAACATGGATAAGCGCATTTAGTTTCTAACATGGATTCTAAGAAAAGAAGTAACTAAAAAAATTAAACTAGCCATTATATCTAAAATTATTAACTTTTTTGAGGTTTAAAATAAGCTTAGACACCGTTAAATATTTGAGGAATAAAGACATTTTTCTCCCCAAACATAATTTTATGTGCGCTATAATCATCTAAAGTCCAAAAAACAATTATTACCAAAGACATTTCTAAGTGCCTGTAAGATAGCTTGCAAAAAAAATAAAACTCCTACGCCAATGACTTTTTTGCGCTTATGATGATTACTTTATATTGAAAATTGTATTTCGATCAAAACGTTCCAATACGTTTTATTGTGAGAATAACATTATTAGAGATGTTTTAAATATTCGTAATAAGCTTATTTTATATTTACAAAAATAAACGTTCGATAGCGACTTATTAATCAAATAAAATCAAAGATACTTCGAGATTACATTTTGGATGGCCCGACTCGAAAAACAGACACCCTGTATTATAATATTGAACTAAATAGAATGCCTTTCATTTAAATGAGGTAACACATAAATAAACAAATCTTGACGGAAGAACAATTGCCTAATTCCAGACTATGATAGTTTAATGCAAATATATGTTAATAAATGTATTTTGATGCAAGAAAAAAATGCTTTCCGTTCATAGAACCCGCAACTGGTGTCTGGTTTATATATTGCGTACTATATTATACATTATTTTTAGAAAAATACACACGCCACCAGCATTTCCATTTTTATTATTATTTTTACTTTTTAAGATCATTTCGGATCATTTTTAGTTGCCAGTTTTGTGCTTATTTTATGTTTGTTTCAACTTATGGTTAGAGGGTACCAAATATTTAAAATTTTAAAAATTTATGTCTTAAAAACTAAAAAATTAAAAAATATATTACACAGTTGCTGCTTTTAATGCTACTTAAAGTTAAATGAGTGGTTGTGGCACTTATTTCTCTGTATGTGAAATCAAATTCATTCGAATCGTATAACCCAAGAAAATGGATATGGATAGGAACAGAATCAAATCAAAGAAAATCCTACTTTTTGAAAAATTCAATCAGTAAAATATGAACGTAGACGTTTGGTTTAATAAATTCATGTTACCAAAGCAACGTTTATCTTTTTTAAATTCCCATTAATAATAATTGGATATAATTTACGGAGCAACTTTTTCTTCCTCATTACATAATTAGAACGAAAATATTTGAATTTCTACACTCCTAAGTTAATGCAATCAAAACCTGTGAGTAATTTTTTATAATTTATTGAAATAGTATTTCATATAAATCTTTACATTCTAAATAAATCTTAATAAGATTAATAATAAATATTCTATTACAAACTAAATCTACAAAAAATTAGAAATAAATTAAAATCATATCAATCATACTTTTGACAATGACCTAAGTTTAAAAAAAAAATCACACTATCGTTTATAAGCTAAACATTTTTTGGAATCTATAGCATTTTCGATAGACTAGAGACACACTCTTTTTGAAAATGCCAGGGTGTTCAGTTTCCTTCACTGTTATATTTTCGTTATTCTCTCTACATCCCCAGAATAATTCTTTTAGTAAATTTGCAGACGAGATGTCCTTAAAAGTTGTTACACTGCTCTAAGGGCATTTTCTATTATTAGAAGCAATGAAACAAGTTTACTGGGTCCAAAAAAACAGTTTTAATTAAAATTATTTCGTTAAATCGGAATTATTCTAACGTACGATACGGCGATACTTTCCCAGTTTAATAAACAGAAGTAAGTTACATTTGACGAATAATCTATATTCTCGTACCCATATCTGAAATTTAGTCGTATTTGAAAGTAGGTTTGTAGAAATTTGTTTCTTATTTTCCATAAAAACTGTACTTTTAAAATTGTGTAACAACTTTTATAGTTGCTCGGAACAGATATAATCCAGTATTTTGTGCTAAGAAAAATGTAAATAGTATATTGTCCTCATGATGTTACAGGCTTGTAACATTCTTATAGTGCTTGACAAATATGTGATGTATATATTATATATATTCTAATTTTACCACCGCTTGTCTATTTCTTAATCGATTCTTTCTTATTTATCTCTAAATGGCCAAACATTTGACTATCATAAAGCCCTTAGTGAAATACTAAACATATTATTCAATATTCCAAATTTCCCCTTTCTTTGGTTTTTACAACGTAATCGCTAGGAAATTAGTTTAAAAATAGTGTGTTAAAATACTTCAAAGATACCCACATATTAGTAAAAACTAAAATATCACATTCATATCTAATAGAAATGTATCAAAAATACTCATATTTTGTCGACTACCATATTGGAAAGTACGATTTTATCACACACTTTTGAGGAGGACAATGTTTTGCCCATCTTTATATTTAAATAAACTTAAATGGTTTTAAACAATACCTATAAAGACATAGTTAAGCCATAATTTCTATATATGTATAATTTTGAATTAAATTATAAAAACTCTGAAATTTTTTCGTAGTTGTAAGGTTCCAACTCAAATTTTTCAATTACTAGAAAAGCAATATAGTTATAAAAATAAAAAAAGAAAATACAATTGACTTTTTAAATTTCATAATTGAAAAGAAAAATTAAAGGCCTATATCTTCGAAATGTTTAATTTGGACCAAAATTACCTCAAAATATTTTGCTTATTTTTACTTAAAAAATCCCCTTTAAACTTAGAAAAAGTTCCATTAATCTAACATAACTCAACTGTCCTGTAGGAATGTGATCAGTAAAAAAATGAGGCAACAACATGGTAGTCGAGAAAATGTTGTGATGCAACACGAAAGGAAAGCGCCTTTAACTAATAATTACACTTATTTTACCCCTGCACGGCCATTACCCTCTGGCTAACTTCCGGAAAGATCTTCTTGCCCTTCCCGATAATATTTTCCTCCACTTCGTACTTCTTCTCGTCGTTAGCTTCATTGACCACCTCAGCAATCTCGCCCATCTTGATCTTCTTAAAACCGTACACCTGATGCGTACCGTCTCCCGTTCTTAACGCTCTCTTTTCTATCATGGTGTATGGGGCAGACTTTAGGTCGTATGCCAGGCCGAAGTAAGACAAAAAGTCGATCACGTAAGTCGTCAGGCAATACTTGGAACCCAGTTCAGCAGCACGGTAGTCCCAGGGGAAGGAATGATGGTAGTTGTGCCAACCTTCGCCGAGGGCCACGAACCCCACGAAGGTCGATTCCGTGGGCATTATGAACCTGGAAGTAATGTTTGATGAATAGACACAATCAAGAAATTATAGAAAGACTCGGGCTAAAGTCACATAAAGCTCTAGGCTAAAATAGCCACCGTTATTTTAAGTTGACACTACGTTCGTTTTCTTCAAAAGAAATTCTCTATCTGCAAATTAAGTCCTCTGGCTGGTATTTATACTTGCATGGTTGTAGTTTTCAGGTAATTAGTATCCTTGATCCCATTTGAAATTATTTCCATTCTTCTGGATTTCTACTGCCTCCTTGTAGAGTCTTTGCTAAAATCTCTTTCTCTCTCTGGGTTGTTATACTTCAAAAATCACCTATGCTTCTTTAACATATCACTGACTTGTCTTCCCATTTGTCCAATCTGTATTTCTCTGTATTTGAGATACTGCAAACACTGGATTCATGGAGTAGATCCAGTACTCCAGTTCTTAGACGTTCTAGATGTACTAATGTCTTAACAATACTTTGTTTCTGGGCTTGATGGTTCAGCGTTCAGACATCTATCCGTGTGGGTGCCTTAGGATGTCGTCTGGTTTTCTCTTGATACATCGAGGCATGGCAGGTTACCATTTTGTTCCATTTCCATTGTAACACCTCCAGATCCAGATGTATCCCATTGATATGGTTCAATGTTGTTATTTCCATGGGGCCAGGTAACAAAATCGTCGACATATCTGAACCAACACTCTGGTTTTAGAGTTGCTGACTCTGTTCTGAAGAAGAGAGCGATGTGTCTGTTTAAAAATCAAGGAACCTAAAGCGATAACGTGACAAGAGGGCCCGTGTAAGGAGTGACAAAGACAGGAGTAGGGCAGGTACCTTCAGAGCAAAGATTTTACTTAATTCTGGTAAATATAGTTGTTTAATGAAGGTTTCATGATACTTACTTGTCAAAAGGTTTCGTGCCATACAAATGAGCAGCGCTGTTAACCAACCAGGTAATATTCAGGACGACCATGTTTCTAAGCATGTAACTGATGAAGAAGGAGTTTATGTAGGTTTCGTTCCAGAAATGTACAGGGATGGCAACTGGTAGGGCTATCGCAAAAACGGCGTAGAGCGGTTTGTAAAATCTAAAATAAAATTGATTTAATTGGGCGTTCTACAAAATTAATGCTAATGATTTATTTTTATGGGTGCTTGTCTTTGGAGATGAACCATGGTGACCTAAATTGTCTTATCTTATAAAATGTTTTGTTTCCCAAACACTATCATCATCTTCATCAGGTAAAGAAACAAGGATCCAATATACAGGGTGTCCCGTTCATGTTTCAATAAACTTGTGTGCAAGTTCCTCAGGGGAAAATAATAGGGGTAGTTCATGTAACGTTTTTTTCTTAGACGCCCTGTTTTTGAGCTACAGTGTGTTGAAGTTGTTACTTTCCAAATGGTTTTCATTAATTTTCTTTAAATCGGCTAAAGATAAAAATGCCAAAATTTGTACACGAGTAAACATCAACTGTACGTTAAGAATAATGTGCAAACGGTTTCTTTCTGAAAAGCAGTGTCGCCGATACAGGTAATTAAAAGGGTGCAATAGAAAAAAAAATATGTTAAATGTCAAAATTTGTTACATTTCTAAATGGTTTTGTAAAGTGTAAAATATACTACAAAAAAAGGTATACTTGTCGAAATTCCGTAGCATGTACCATTTTCGAGAAAAATGAAGTTGCATTTTTTTGCTCACATAAAGCGGCACAAGTACATTAACAAAATATTATAGATTGCAAGAGGACTTTACCATTGAATGAGCTGAAGACATTTAGCTACCAACAGTATTTGCATATAAGACTATTTTTAATTTCTTACGTATCACATGAAACAGTTAAATTGTAAAATATTTTATTAACTAAAGAAAAAATTAAATTTATTTTAAGTTTCAGCTTGTAAATTAACATTTAAAAAAGTAAATCAAATAAACAAATTATGGTAGGTAATTATCTATTAATAACTTATTTCAGATTTTGTATACTACTACGCTACCACTACTAAAATAAACAATTGTTGAATGGACTGAATTGTTGATCGATATGAATGCTTAAAAAAAGTGATAAGAACAGAAAAATATTAGGAAACAGACTCGGAGACATACAGAACAAAACAGCTGCATAATTAAATAAATGAGAAAAACTCGAAATACTACAGTAGATGCTGAAATTGTTCTCCATTTGCTTCTATGTAACTTAATTTTTCTAGAAAATGGTAGATGCTACCGAATTTCGACAAGTATACCTTTATTTGTAGTATGCTTTAAAGTTTACAGAATCTTTTAGAAATGTGACAAATTTTGACTTTTAATATATATTTTTTTTCAATTACCTGTTTCGGCGACACTGCTCTTCAGAAAGAAACTGTTTGCACATTATTCTTAACGTCTAGCTGATGTTTACCTACTGGAGTACAAATTTTGACATTTTTATCTTTAGCCGATTTAAAAATAATTAAGAAAACTGTATCTTGAAAACAGGGCATCTAAGAAAAAACTACCCCTATTATTTTTCCATAAGGAACTTGCACACAAGTTTTTTTGAAACATGAACGGGACATTCTGTATATTAGAAGACCAAAAGAGATATCCAAAATTTGTAGGAAACGTAGATATAAACGAATACAAATGGCCTTCCCTGCATAACGATACTGATTGCCGCTGCACGTGATTTTTCAATAACAGGAACCTGATAGGAAATAGAAAGAGAAACGAATTTATTAAGGTCGGTAGAATTTCATTTGCTCCTTGTTGATGAAAGTCAATTTGGAAAATATTATGACAACGTTCGTCCTTTTGAAAAAATATTATTTCTGATTCAAATATATGTATCATTTTTTGAAAATAATTTATATTATAGTCGTTAAGAATTCGTAAACTGGACCTTTTCCAAAATTTCTGTCATCTAAACTTCTTTGGGACATATCGCTATCTGTACCGCTATGAAGATTAATGTATGGGGAATTAAAATCAGTTATATTCGCTAAAGATAATTTTTTATAGATCTTAGACATCTCGTTTGACATTTAAGTATTCTGGGTATTCCGAATATCTTGTATGACAGGGCTGACGAAATATACCTATTATATAATCTTTAAATAATGGTTTGGTATCAAACACATGCTTATTTAGCAGATTTAGCATGTCGAAATTGTTTGCAGTTCAATAAGTAATACCGATCTTTGAACCGGTATATTTCACATATTAAAATAGGACAATTTCTCATAACTGCAGAAGTATAGTGACTTATGCCGACTTATGGCTGAAAGAATGTGCTATTAGTGAAATATATTAGGAAGGAACCACCGTCTTTCTATCAAATCTTTGCTTGAAATATTAATCTTATAGTGCTCTCTTTTGATCTTGTCATCGTATTTTTTTTATTAAATGGTGATACTTAAAATGAAGAAATGTATTAATTAATGGTATCCTGGCTAGAATTTCATAGCCGTCTCAAAGAGCAATCAAACGCGTGAAAAATAGTAAAAGCAATATACAAGCTCATTCTTTCAAGGTTTTGAAATATTACTTTCTAATTTCTAGGTTCGTTTGCGTTTTTCATTAGTAGAATTTGAGAGTATATTTCATTTTCAATCCTTACATAATTTATATTAGCCTGTTTATAGAATTGTTTGTTTAACATAGATAGATTAGGTACACTTAAATTCGTTTAATGAGAATTAAAGAAAAAAATCCTATAGTTAACTTAAATTCAATAAGTCAATACGGAAAGTAACACTAACCTACCAAATTCGAAATTACAGTTACTTCTACAAAACAGTATACAATGTGGGTTACATTAATATAAGTAATAGATAAAAAACAAATGAATTCCTAATATCTTTTATTAGATGGACTAAGATAGCGTATATTTAAAAACTGTAACTTCCTTGAAATCGCAAATCTTGAGCCTGGTATGTTTTTACGTAACAATTTTTTAAAAATTATTTTTACAATTTTTTGAAGAAAATCTGTTGAGGAAATTGTAGTTTCCAAATCTGTGCGTTTCTAGAGCCTACTTAATATGAAATAATTAAATTCACTTGTTTTCTATATGCTATATGTAATATATGCCCCAATAAACAATTCACAGCTAAAGCAAAAAAAATACTTGACTTTTAAAATAAAATATCAAAAATTCTAATGATTTTCAAGTCATCAAATCTAAAGCTAGTCGTGAAACATTTAAAAAGATCAAAGTGTGACTGCCACGTGGTCGGTTTAGACTCTTTGATGTTTCGAGAGACATGTGGCTCTCTTCAGAAGAAGAACCACGAGAATTGAAGATTAAGTCCTTTAGCAGTTATTTACTAGTTCATGGCGATCTAGAGCAGTACTTGAAGCCACTTTCCTGTGACGTCCCCTTTGTGACTTTTACAAATGGGTTCCTTCCAAAATCCAGGTAGCGATTCTTCTATTGTAGAACCTTGTCAAAAATGCTCTTCTTACTAGAATTTTGGTGCTAATGTGTCTTCCTATTTGTCCAATGATACTTTGCATTTCCTCTGATAGTTAATCGTAAGTGATGTACTTCTTCGTCCAAGTGCTCTAGCTTGCAAATAGTCAGTAGTTGACGGAACCTTACTTCTGTGATAGACGGTGATATATCTGTATGAATTGACTCTCCGTAAATGATTGGCCTTATGGTGCCAACAAATTTCTTCTCCAAAGACATCCAGAACCAGAAGAGTACAGTTGCCTTGCAACTCCATGATGAAGCTGTCCTGAACAATATAACTGAGAAGCTTTGGCTTTAGAGTTGTACTCCACTGTACTTTTTAGAATTGTATATCAAACCATTCACATCATTCTTCTGAAGAAGACAGCTATGTATCTCTCGAAACCTCAAAAAGTCAAAGTCAAATTGTTCATACTATTGACATCTCCAACGAATGTCGCAAACCAATAATAATATACTTACTCCTTTTGAAACATCACCAACCAGTCGGCCTCCAAGTCGGACATGTCTATGGTCTTGCCTTTTTCAATCACAGCCGGATGTTTTTTGCTCATCAGCCATCCGACGTGAGAAAAGAAGAATCCTCTGTGGGCATTGTGTGGATCTGCGTCGGTATCACTGAACTTGTGATGTTGCCTGTGATCTCGCACCCAAATGTAGAGACAGTTCTGTAATAAGCAAACAAAAGTTATTCGAAACAAGTTATGGTATGTTAAAATCACAACACTAGAAAAAGTCTAGATCGCATATACACTCAAGTATGCAATATGGCAAAAAATTAGCGGTATAATGTAACTGAAAAATGCATTTGTCGACTATTTGGAACATAAGTGAGTAACAAAACGTTTTAGACCTCCAAAGTTGGTCATGAATTTGTAATCATAGGTTGCATCCTCGTGACTTTTTCTAGATGTGTAGTTCAAAACATTTAATATGTAACTTCTTTAATTTCATGTGCATAATCATACCAATTAGCATATTTTAATAGGAGTTAATTTGAATTCTTTTGTATGCTTGCATAACCTAGATAGCCAAAACAATTAATTCTAAAGCGTAGAAAAATATCGGACATCGTAAACCTTGAGCAGTATTAATTAAAATAATAAATTTCAGTATAATAGAAATGAGTATAGATGACTATTCTACATTTATCCTCATCCTCATCCTCATCAAGAAGAGGTACATAATGAAATAATTAAAAACTACAACCTAAAATTGGTGCGATCAAGGTAATATTTTCAATTACACCTCGTTCACATCTCTTGAATTTTCGAAAGTAATATCGCTCTTTTCTTCGGAAGAAACTCTGAAAAAAAGTAAGTTACATATACTCCGCTGGTCTATTGATCTGTATTGTTCCAGTCCTTGACGTTTGTTAGTTGCAACCTCTCGTCTCGATTGAGACTATATCGAGTCTTGTGGATTTCCATTGCCTCCCTTAGAGTCGTAGCCAAAATCTTCTCTCTCCTACCAGAATTTTGGTATTAGTTAGGTATATAAATAAAATGGTATTCATGTACGAGGCAACGTTTACTCAAAGGTGATATTCAGTCTAAAGAATTTATAATGAAAATCCAAATAGCAGTAATGTGTGGCACTTTGGCACAAATTTAAACTGAATATTTGGTTCGACACAGTCTTTTGGGACATTCCTTTAGATTTTAGAGCTCACATACGCTTTTTACAATCGCTACCCGTGTTTCTTTATCAGTGAATTGGAAGTCCGGATCTAATTTTTTTTCTGGAGGTCCATTGAAACCATTGTTTAGATTGTTGCAGCTATCAACAGTAGAGATGAACAGTGGCAAAGAATAGTTGAAGCTGCAAATGTTGTTAGATATCTTCTTCCGTCCTTTTTCGCTGATTTCTTGATGTCGAAAATGCACTCATCAAACGGTGGTCACTTCGAAAATAACAGACCGACAAAATTTGAGCGGTCTTCTAAACCAGAAATCATACTATACTTTTCTGAAGGTTATCGATGGGGCTGAATCAGAATCCGACATCGCTATATTTGAGGGTATGTGTCATGAGGTAATTTTTTTTTTCTACAAGACTCATTATAGCATCTAACTCTACTACACTGATTTATAATTTTTATCGGTTGTATTTAACCGTAATTATCTTTTTTTGTTGTTGTTACTTTTATTGTAATTGTCTATTTTCTTTATCAAGCAGTTTAATTAATTATTAGGACATCTTAATTGTATCTTTAATTGTTGCACATAAAATTTAAAATAAAAAAAATTGTTTGAACCTTGTTGCATTTTTACATTTTTTACATTTTTTTGAGAAATTACATTCTGTACTACCTGTAATACCTTAGCATTTAAAAGCAGTTTTCTGCTGACATGCAACAAATATACTAATTATACTGAAGAATCATCAAAAATTTGTACAACTCGACACAAACAAGTTTGCATTTCTCAGAGATGCGCAAGATTAAGAAAGACGCATTCGACTAGAGGGAATAAGATGTAGGCGTGGTGACTTCGGATAAGACCATTTTTCTTGCCGTGTCCTGGCTAATTTGTGGAAGGAGCTAACTCAAAACTCAGACGCAATCTTATTTCTAATATTTTCTTATTTCTGTTTTATACAGTGGCATAACATTTATTTTTTTATAAAAGGGTTCCGGGAATGAAATTTGCCCGTCACTGGTTTTTGTATTTACATTAAATTGTATCCTGATAATAAAACTCGTGTCAAATAAGGAAAAAATGTTTTTTCAACTTCAACACGTTATACCAGGAAAGGAAATATTTCTCGATAAAATGTTATTTGAACCTTTGTTTTCCATTATACAGTGTGTCCCAGAAGTAACGCAAAAAATTCGTATTTTATTTTGTGTTGCGTTTTCACAAAAACACTAAAACACGTCAATTAGTAAATAGGAATTGTCATTTTGTCACGTTGCTCAAACCTTTTTTGCGCTATGTTTCATAAACCTATGACGTCATCGACATTTTTTTTAAATAGCACTACCTAATTTTTTAAGCATAAACGGATAGTCCTTTTGAAGGGAAATACGTCGATAAAGGGTTTGGCCTACTTTACTTTGACAGGAGCGAAAAAAAGGAATTAGGTAGTGCTAATTAAAAAAAATGTCGATGACGTCATACGTTTATGAAACATAGCGCAAAAAAGGTTTAAGCAACGTGACAAAACGACAATTCCTATTTACTAATTGACGTGTTTTAGCGTTTTTGTGAAAACTCAACACAAAATAAAATACGATTTTTTTGCGTTACTTCTGAGACGCACTGTTAGAATCTATTGGTGACGTTTGCTCCTTTAGTAACTGAACACCTTGTATAACTATATACGGTAATTAAACCTTGTGCAGTCATATTTATTTGAAAAAGTTTAATTTTGACTATACTACGTATTTTTTTTCATCATTTCGAAAATGAGGGCTTTAGAGAGACATATTTATGTAAGATAATGCAATATTTCCCATATGTTGCAACTCGAAGTATGTTGCTGATTTTATTCACATCTGTTTGAAAAAAATGTTAACTTTTAAACACGATACTTGGGCAATACAGACAAAAATTGATGCTGGGTTAATAAACCTTAGCCGATCGGTCTGTCTGATATGTCGGAGTGAATGTTTGGCTGGCCTCATTATTTAAAATCTAATTTTAATTGATATCTCAAAACTCTTGGTAACCCAGAGCCCCGAATATTCGAATGCGAATTAGTAATACCGCTATTACTCAATTTTCTTAACGGCTAAACGAACGAAAGTATCGAGAAGCTGTTATTAAAAATAATTCATACAAATTACCGACATGATAATTGTGTAGCGCAGAGAAAGTATTTCTTCACGGCGTGCTGGCGTGCTCGCACTTAACTAATAACGATTTAAAAAACACTGATTCGTTTACTTTTTACTCGTTTTCGGAATTTGCAACCATTGTTCGTGCATCTATAAAATACGATACGACTAAATTTGTGTTGTTACGTAACCCGGTATTGTTTCAGTTATTATTTTTTTGCAATTTAAGAAAGTATTTGACATTGCCCAACGCGTGTAATAAAGTTAAGCGTAGGAATGACTGCCGCTCTGATTGTAGCTTGGCTTAATTTTAAAGAAAGTGCTGTTTTTGTGACTAGTCAATGAACTTGTGGGCCCATTCATCCGTCCATCCAGAAATAAGGAAAAAAATGTATCAAATTCGTTGCGTACATGTGTGTCAACAACTTGTTGACATTAGTAGAGTAGAAGAGCATAAAAAACTACACGGATGAAGACATCTTTGAAATAATTATTTACAGTTGCAAAATGGCGTACGTGCTCCATAACAGAGATTTACTTACACGCGTGTTTTCAACTATCTTCCTTTGAAAAGAATTAAAGAGTTTCATAGGCGTCCCTAAAACAGTTTTCTACTAAAGGTAAACAAGAATAACAACACAGATCAATAAAATTTAACTTTTTTTGGAAGCATAATCTTGAATATATATTTCCGAAGGATTTAGGTGCACTGAATCCGAATCTGGCAGCAGAATTGCTCTATCACGTCAAGTTTTTGAGATATCCTAACCTAAAAATGCAAAAAACTCTGTTTTTCGTCATATTTGAGGTTATGTAGTAATGCCATCTATTCTTTTTCAAAAAACTAATACATTGAATCTAAAAGTACAAGGCTCCCTCATTCGAATGCCGTTGAGTTTGCTCAAATATATTTTTGTTTTCGTTGAGATATCACATGTTGAAATATTTAAGTTTCTCAGTTTCTTAATATGCGAAAATATACTAAAGATCCCTTAGACGTCAAGCAGTCAATTGCAGTCCCAGTGTCAGCGTACAAAAATTTACCAGGGGGTAGACCAGACCAAAATAAGGTTAAAATTCTTATAAAATATTTTTCTCCGATGCATTCTCACTGAGTTACAGGGTGTTGTTTATAAAAAAATAATAACTCCACAATAACTCAAAAAACCCTTTCAGGAATTTTAAGTAATTTTTGGAAGAAGTGTACTTCTATTAAAGGTCATTAAAACTACATACTTATTTCGATCTGACGCCAGGGGCGGCCTAGGCCAACTTGTCCTCAAGGTTATGTCTTCGTAACGTTTGCATATCCTAGTTTTATGTAATTTGACTACCTTTTCCTGATTCTGCAATCGATTCTGAGCAAAAAATGGGCTCTTGTTTCGTAACTCAAAAATGAACCGTTTTCGAGTAAATTGGGTCTAAAGTATCGACTACATTCGTTCGTAGACCAAACTCCTGGTTCTTTAATTGAGATCGGAAAGACTATACAAGCGAGTGAAACAAACCATTATAAGCTAGTAAAATGTTTGATTGTTATTCTATGTTTAGATGATTGCTGTTTTCATTGTTACTGGTGGATGCAGATGTGACGAACTAATGAGGATGTTCATACAATTCCCATTCACCAAAACTCACAAGGAGTGGTCCTTCACTATATAATTAATTGTTTAATGCTGTGTGTATATTTATATAATTTTATTTCACTTGTAACTGAAATTGTCTTGCCACCATTTCTGGGCCTTATCATTCACCCATCCCTAAATGACTGTCTTAATAACAAATCTAAGAGGCTTCTGGTCTTTGCATGGCTGCTGATGAACCTGTTCTGTCCGACACCTCATCCCCTAAGCTATAGGTAGTTGATCTATCTTCCAAAGAGTTTTTCTAGAAGCTGCACCTTAGGGCGAAGTACTCTGTTGGCATATCTAAAATCGGATGTCTCTATAACTCATCGTATATATTTTCGTATACCCCAAACTGTCTCCAAACTCCAAACATGCTTCTCCACGAATGGATATATTGAGTGGTGGTAGGTTCAGCAAGACTTCTAGAGCTGCAGTATGTGGCTCTCTGTTATAACTATAAGACAGGAGCTATCTTCTGATCAATCACTTTGAGACGATTTTAATTTTTTATTTAGATTGTATAAATGTTTACTATCAAAGACTATACGTCTACATTTCTTTCGATGAGGATTTATAAAAGTTTTATAAATTAATTTAAACGTACAGAGAAGTTGGGGTATCGGCTTTGAAAATAGCTACCCGTAGCCACAAAAGAAATGAATTAGTTTGTAACCTTTCTAAATTCATCACATCACCGCAATTTTCTCTTTTGGCCATCCAACCTTGATAGTTATTTGAAACGAATTAGAGCAGTGGTTATTAGGTATATCAGATTATACACAGTTTTCACCTCACTGTTTGAGAAAAGGAAACCTTACTGAAATGTTTTTAAATATGTTTTTAATGCTTTTTTAATGTGACATTGTTTTGCAGACATTTTTTAATCTCTAAATAATTACACAAACTTTATACAGGGTGTCCGCAAATTTCACCGACAACGCTTAACCATATATTGACGACGATAAATAAATACGATCTATGAAATAAAAGTTATATAAAAACTTTTTGGTTTTTGAGGCTTCAAACTTGTCAAAAATAAAACTAATTTAATTAATAATTTCATAACCCTTTTACCGATCGCGTTAAAATTTGGCACATTTATTTGGACCATTATGGCGTATTATTGCTTAAAGCTTTAGTAAAATCGATATACTGGGTGATAGTTTTCTCCGGTTACCTCTCCCTCTTAGCGGTCAAAACTTTTACAGTGGTCGTATTTTTTAAAACGGGCAGCAACATTGAAAAGGTCTATTTATTTAAAAAAAATATTGTCCCTTGAGAAAATCGCCTACAGAATGCCATTCTTGAGAAAAATAGCATTATTTGCAGGTCTGAATGTTTCGGTTTGGGTGGCAATGTCACGGATTTAAAACTTTGAGTTCAAAAAGCGATGAAAACAAGACGTTGATAGCTGTGGCTATCAGGTAATGTCATTATTGTGGTGTTTCTTTAGGAGGTTCCAGAAATCAGAAGATTAATGAATATCTCTAGCACTAAAAACAAATTTCCTTGCCTCCTTATTATACATTTTAATTTATTTCGATTTTTTCTTGGAATATTTTAATTTTTCACTGTCTTTAACGGGCTTGTAACCCAAATATTGAAACATATACAATTATACTATGCCCACTCGTCCCCCCATCCTCGCATTATGGCTTTAAATTACCAAATATACCAAGCGACTGATTGTAATCTTATAATTTTGCTGATAAAACACGTAGATACCCCAGATTTTGACTTATATAAGAGAATGACACTGCAAATCCTTCCGAATTTGGATTTGAGCATTGTCGTAGCTTACATCACACAGGTAGAACGCTATATAATTGCGTTAACCTAAATTTTAAACAAAAATAAGTAATAGTAATATACGTATATAAACCACTTACCTGGCCCGCAATCGTTTGAAGCAGAATTAAAGCCAGCCTCAATGAAAACTTCGCCTTGAAAGATTTGTGCGAGTACAATCTGTGAGCTCCGACTGTGACTCCTTCTCCGGAAAGTAAGGCAACGAAGATCACTAAGTAAAAAGAAATAATGCAAAAATATTTAAAACTGCTGTTTTAAGTAGATTTGTAACAAGGTCGTATTCAGTTTATTCTACTAATTTTTATTTCAGTTGTTTACTAGATGTTTACTAGATATAGACTATCGTTAAATATCGTCATTTTCATTGCAGGATCAATATTTCACTTTTGAAAAGCACGTAATCATGTGTTTTAAACAACCAATATAATACTTAAACCATAAATTAACTCTAAACTTTATCGGATAAGTGTTTCTTTATATATTTTTTTAACTTTTATATTTAGCATTATATTAATATTACTGTACTACGAAACAGTTGTTTTCAGTGAGCAAGTACATGTTTACATTTTAATACTGAATCCGGTTCTGTTATGAACCATGTGTCCCCGAACTTTAATCTAGAAAAAACAATTTTAGTCAACTTGAGGTCTAAAGAGAAAGAAAAACATTGACCAGAGAAAAAACACACAATTTCAATGGGACAAAAACGCAAAGCTATAGCGTGAATTAGACTGAATATATCCCTGAAATTAAAACCTGAATTAATGCAGTTTAGATTTTACAGACTACAGTTTACTTAAGGAGGTTTATCTCATTTGGAATTGACAAACAAATATTCATAAAAAATTAATATAAGCTTATTAATATGAAGAAAATCCTCAAACAAAAATTATGACTAGTTTGGATACCTACCTAAGAGACGTGATATTAATAAAATAATTTTTCACGATTTAGTAGAAAGTCTTACGAGAATGCAGATTTTTTCGGTTTTTCCACTTAGAATGCGCAACAATTGACGAACAGTTTCCACAGCAACTTGTATAAATAGGAAACCGATATCTAAGGAACCGTATGACAGCTCGTAGAAATCGATTAGGTATTTGTAAGATACATAATTTATAATAATTCTTCTTCAAACTGCTGTCGTTGACTAACTTATCCTCCATATGCGTGATAGCGGCGACGCCGCAGTCTCGACGTAGCGTATTATTTGAAATTGGCAGGTGTCCAAGCAAACAGAATGATCGAAGGTGAGCGAGCGAACGCCGAGGCGAGCGAGCCAGCCAAGTGCAACGTTGACAAATCTAAAGGCTTACTACTTTAGTCACTAGCGAATCTACAGAAACATTCGTTAGACTTTAGATGTACCTTCGTACCCGATAAACCTCCTTAACGAAAATTTCACTGAACGTTTTTTTTTTTGGAACACTTTGTATAAATATATTATAGTTTGAATTCGGGTGGCCAAAATAAGAAAGGAAGAAAAAGGGACAGAAATTCGCATATTCCAAAATATCTCTCAAGATGCATCACACAGAACGATAAAATTTGAAGTATAGTCTTTCCGAAGTCAGTTGAACATGTATAAAAACGCCTAGCAATAAAATTTAATGAGTTTCATAGGCGTCCCTAAAAAAGCTTTTTGCCAAAGATAAAAAATAATAATTGTATATTACAATGTGTAGAAATTTTCTATTATAGTTTCATTTGGCCAACAACATATTTTAATTATTTATGCCCTCAAACAATTTTATTATATCATACACCTTGTTTAATAATAACACGAGAAATTGTGGACACTGAAACTTCAGTTAATATGTGAATTTTATTTATAATTTCATTGTCTGATTTTTGTTCTTCCTTTTTTAAACAATCATAAATATTTAAAATGAGATGCTGACATTGAACATGTAAATAAATCTTTTTTAAATTCTAAATCTGTTTCATCAACAACCGGTTCTACTAATTCAATATTGTCTGGCGGTCTTCCGTATTGTTCCGTTTCAAAAGGTCTCCAACATGCCATGTTGTGATAAAATTAGTAAATAACATATCCCTCTTATTTCTCCCTTTCACAATTATAATATGAATGGTTAATAGAAGGTGCCTATAATAACTTAAAATTACCTGAATCGCACCAAAGTCCGCATTGCTGCACTGCACTGCTAGACAATTTGTCGATAACTGAAATTTATGGCCGGTCGCCGAGTGCGGCTGTCTTTCTGCGCCGTTTGCTCGCGCGCGCGTTCTTCAACTTGGCGGCCAGACCAGTATCGGGTATGGCTATCGGGTATCGGTAAGTAAATGTGGGAACAAGTTTTTCAAATAGTTCAATGCCGAGTTGTTGCTTAGCTACCGAACTGGCTAGCTGTTTGGTCTTCAATTGAGATCGGAAAGACTATACATAATTAAAAGTAAAAATTCTCTAAATTTGTTTAAAAATACATGAGTGGTGGATTCTGTGGCAATGATTTTTTCGAACTTTTCAAAAATATCTAAAATGTATTTAAAATCATATGTCTAGAAAAAAATGATTGGTATTGTTTTTGCATTTTTCTGATAATTATCCTTTCGACACAGTAATCTGTTGTATTGAAAAACTTGAAAAATAAAATCAATATACATTTTTTTTTTGAAACAAGATAAAATGTTCCGTTTTTCAAATAAAGTGAAAAAGATATTTTTTCTTAGAAACATGGCTAGGAAGGATGTTCCTTCCTAGAACTTAGTTCTTGTTTTGGCCACCAGAATTAAGTTTTAAAGAGAAAATTAAGTTGTAAACCTAAAAAATCCAAGTACTTGTCTCTAACCACAAATATTAATTGTAAAAAAACCTAATCAAATACTGAGTAATACAAACCATAAGGTCATTTGACATAAATTTTTTGCTTCTATGCTATTTTAGTGAAAATTGAAATATTTTATCCACTTAGAAGGAGCAGAATTTTGTTTTTTTCTTAATTTTATTGGAAAAAATATTAATGAAGCTTTGCTATTGATGTAAATGGCAGTAATGACGATTCTGGGAAGCACGAAACTTAGAATTGCGACGCCACTGGCCATTTTAAAAATTGAAGGAGTAAATATAATTTCTAGCGCGATTTTAAAATACTTTTAGCGTGTCTACAGAAAAATCTATAGTACCTAATTTCTTGCCCAAAATATGAATTTAGGTACAGTACAGCTATCAACGACACAGGAAACCATTGCCGTAGAAATTTTAAATTTCCTGAAGGGTCCCACAAAAAAATATATATTTTTTATAACGATATATTTACTGCATTTGGAACAAAACGAGTCTATACAGTGAGGTCGAATTTGAAAGTTCCTGGTGACGACACTACCCAGTGTCCCCGCCTTGCTTGAGATTTTTTAATACTCTTCGTGAACTTGAACAAACATCATACAAAAAATCCTGTTTAGACGTAGAAATAAGTTTATATAGCAGAGCTCTTATTTTTAATGGATCTATCTCTTCCAGATTTTTTTTAAGTTAAAAGTGGGGCTCCTTATATGGGGTATTCCATTAAATTACAAAAATTGCTAACACTGCAAAGGTTAACAGGAACCCTATGGTTTGGGTAACCCAGTATATTATGATTCTTATAGCTAGATATCTTCGAATAATACGTTATTAAAAAATAATAATTAAAAGGAATTTAATAAAGTACCTTTAGATCTATTATTGTAGCAACAATTTAATAAATCAGGTGTATAAGTGGGTTATTCCTGAGTTAATTTTAACAAAAAAAGTTTATATAAACCTTTGTCCGAAATTGCTTTGTTTCTGATACAGGGTGTTGAAATTAAAATTAAACAAAATCATAATTACAACAGCTGCTGAAAGTGGCTACTCCCGACATTAATACAATCGTCTGCCCTCCTCACCAAAGAATCTCGTACCTACCCGCATTGTGAAATACCAGGAATATTTCTTATCATTTCGCAGGAATCTATTATGCGGTTCTTTAACTTCATTTAACGCCTAAGGAACTCAGCAAATTGCATCTTTGCAGAAATTTGCAAATTTCTCGAAAACGGTGGCTTCTAGCGTTATTAAGGAAGTGTATGTTTTTTTGTTTAAAAAAGGTGTAGGAATATGGTTTATTCATAAAAAATCGCAGACGTCTTCCGTCAAAAAAGTTATGGCAAATTAAAATTAATAATGATTGCCTTTGTAGCGCCCTCTAAGTGTTGCACAAAAATTAATACCAAATTATGATTTCTCATCACAAAAAACCCCCGGTTACCAAATTTTGTGCGAAAATTTTTTCTTTCGTAAAAGTAATTTAAGAAAATCGAAAATAAAATTTTAATTTCAACGCCCTGTATTTCAGAAACAATGCATTTCCAGACAAGATTTATATAAACTTATTTTCTTAGAATTAATTCAGGAATACCCCACTTAAATATGTTAACGTACTTAGGGTACACCCTGTATATTATTTTGTTGTACCTATTTATAAAAACTATAAATTACAGTTCATCTTTTTCTATATTTGACTCAATTGAGCCATTTTATTGTTAAATACTTTAAATATTTGTCTGATATTATTTTAATAACGGTAAAAAGTTTGAAATTTATTTCTAGCACATTTTATTTTCACTGTATACAGGGTGTTCCTAAATAGGTGTCGCAACGGAAAACTGTAAATTTCTCTTGAAAAAAGAAACATACTTTTCCTCTTCCATTTTTCTCTCCGGGCTTTCGTTTTCGAGATACACGGTGTCAAAACTTTATAATTTTTTTAATTTTTTACCAATATCTTTGGAACCGTTTGAGCTACAGGATTGAGTTTTTGTACACGCATTACCACTATTAATAGCTACTTTTTCTCAGCCTTCTCGAATTCATTGAACGTGCCAGTGGTGGAGATTTTAAGGTATCGTAAGGGTTTTTCCCCCCTAACCTTTACGCCACTAGAAAAATTAACATTTGATAGTAAATTCTGAAGCGTCAATGAATTTTACACAAAAACAGTTCTCTTAGTTCATTGCTCTAAAGTCAACCGTTTTCAAGAAAAATGACTTTTTATGAACAAAAACAAACATTTTACTAACGTTTCGAAAATCTTTTGTAATTTAAAAGATGGGTTGTAATAAATAAAAATTTTAACGAAATTTAACAGCATTTGCAACAAGTAGCTATTAATAATGGTAATGTGTGTACAAAAGCTCAGGCCTGTAGTTCAAACGGTTCCTAAGATATTGGCAAAAATCTGAAAAAAAGTTTTGACACTGTGTATCTCGAAAACGAAAGCCTGGAGAGAAAAATGGAAGAAATAAATGTTTCTCTTTTGAAGAGGAATTTACAGTTTTCCGTTGCGACACTTATTTAGGAACACCCTGTATAATTATGTTGCTACTATAAAAAATAATGACATATAATTAAACTAACTTAATCAAGGGTTGTAAACCATTTTTATATGACCAAATATTTCACTCTAAAAAAGGCAGTATTAACAAATTTTTTGTTAGGGTGAGTTAAGGTTTGCTGTGTTCATTGTTCAGAAATTTTTGGCTATACAAAAATAGTCTAATATTTTTTAAAACAATGAAAAAATGACTCACTCCAAAGCATCGTAGCGGTGTGAGCGTAAGAGCACAGATACAACCCGTACACCGCGGCTAAGTGTAGAGCCAAAAACCCTAAAGCGTTCTTCCATACTATATCCCTTTTGAAGCTGTAGTCGGTTCCTATATCCGCGGGAAGCTTTCCTGCCGCACTAACTCTTCCTCTGTCACTCGTCTCACTGTCCACTATCACCGTCTTCATATCCTTAGGAGTCATGATCTGCGTTTGTTTAGAAAAATATGTCAATAGCTTTGGCAAGACTAAACTCATTTTGTTCAAATTCCGCGGGATAAGTCACAATAAGGAAGTGGGGATACTTTAAAAATATCTCCGAGTGGGGTGTCCCGAGCTTGGAGCCGTGAACCCAGAGAAAGTAGGGGCGACGTATATTTGGCGCCGTAAGAAAGAAACAATTAGCCTGTCTTGACGGAGCTTGGTTTGTGAGGATTTGCACGTTCTGATAGAAAATCGAGTTCGTTATTGAGTAATGACATAATAATAGCAGTGATATTTAAAGCAGAATAATTCCTTTCGATAAAAATTTTGCGCGGGGTATCATAATTGGTTTATTTTCTGATCTATTGTTGCTTTTAACAAATTCTTTTAAAATAAATTAAAATTCGTTGTTGGATTGTTCTATTGAATTTAGCTTTATAGTCCAGTTGGTAGAGGTTCGGCCTGTGTCAAATCTTGATAACCCGGAAATAACTACACAGGCCTACTTTAAATGATGAGTACAATAACAGGCTAATTTGCTGCCAAAGTATTTTATCAGGAAAAACAGTTATTAACAATTTAATAGTGAATATTTTTTTTTAGTAGTTTTCTTTAAATAACTCAGCGGGATGACTTTGTACGAAAAAATGCTTAGGATACGATTTTGTTCGTAATAAAAATAGCTACAAAATGGCGGTGGTCCGATTACGAAATTTTTAATAACAAAGCCGTGAGATTGAAAAAACGGTATAAAACGTCAATTTTTTAAAGTTGCTGTAAAAATGTCAATTATATACAAAAAGTTATAAAACTTTCGAACACTATAGTTCAGTATATATACAACAATGACGCTAAAGCCCAAAATCAGGAAAGCAAAACTTTTTGTTCTATAAGGTGTTATACATTCATCGGCATCTGAAACTCGAAACTTTGCCAAATTTGTTCGAAGCTTTGCTGACACTTGAAATTTGGTACACACATAGTGTAAATAAGCAGAAACCAAAAGCAATTTGCAAAATTCAAGTATTTTCATTTTTTCAGTTTTGGTAAGGTTTTATACGTCACCCTAGTTTTATACGTCACCGTTTTTTTAATTTTTGGACTTATATTTATGTATATTTATAAAATATTCCATTACGGTAGATTAGCCAGCACAATTACCTACAATTTAAATATATATATATTATTTTCGACGTTTAGATCCTAAGCTACTTAACATTTTGCGCCTGTTAGCCATACTCGTACATTATTCAACATATCAACATAAAACAAAAACGTACGTGTGGGGTAAACCTTTAACTTTAAGTAAACAATTGTTTAAATTTACTGTTGCATATTTCTAATAGTATAAAAGCTCCGAAGAGCGGAGCTCGCGCTCGAAAATGAAAAGTTAAAGGTTTACCCCACACGTACGATTTTGTTTTATGTTGATATGTTGAATAATGTACGACTACGGCTATCAGGCGCAAAATGTTAGGTAGCTTAGGATCTAAACGATGAAAATTCAATTTTTTTTTAATTGTAGGTAATTGTGCTGATTAATCCACCGTGATGGAATATTTTATAAATAATATACATATATATTTTTCCAAAAATTAAAAAAAACGGTGACGTATAAAACTAGAGTGACGTATAAAAGCTTACCAAAGCTGCAAAAATGAAGATAATTGAATTTTGCAATTTGCTTTTGGTTTCTGCATATTTACACTATGTGTACACCAAATCTCAAGTATCAGCAAAACTTCAAACAAATTTGGCAGTTTCGAGTTTCAGATGCCGATGGATGTATAAAACCTTATAGAACAAAAAGCTTTGCTCTCCTGATTTTCGGCTTTAGCATTATTATTGTATATATATTGAACTTAGTTTTCGAAAGTTTTATCACTTTTTGTTTATCATTGACATTTTTACAGCAACTTTAAAAAATTTACGTTTTATACCGTTTTTTCAATCTCACGGCTTTGTTATTAAAAATTTCGTAATCGGACCACCGTAATTTTGTAGCTATTTTTATTACGAACAAAATCATGTCCTTAGAATTTTTTCGTACAAAGTCATCCCGCTGAGTTATTTAAAGAAAACTACTAAAAAAATTTTTTTTCACGATTGAATTGTTAATAACTTTTTTTCCTGATAAAATACTTTGTCAGCAAATTAGCCTGTTATTGTACTCATCATTTAAAGTATTCCTGTGTAATTATTTCCGAGTTATCAAGGAAATGTTACCAACAGTAACTTTTCGGCCTCTGCCGACTGGACTATTAGTCCAGACGGTATCTGTTTCAAAAAGCCATATTTGGGTGAATCGTATATCCACGGAGATTTTTGGCTTTTTGGCTTTCAAATATCACTAGAAATGAAAATTTTTCTATGCGCATAAAAAAACATGGACTTAACTGTTGGCGGCACAATATGTTAAAAAAATTGGAAAAATGTCATATTTTTCTTCCTATTTAATTATGTATCTTTTTAAGAGTTGATTTTAGGCGAAAATGGAAGAGGAAAAAAATGTTTGTAATTAAATTTTTTACGTGACTGGTTACATATCGAATGAATCATGATTATTATGATAAAAATCGAAAAAATCACAAAAATGGGGTTAAAAAACAATACTTTTTAGGGAATTTTTTTTGGTGTATTTAAATTGGGTGTAGGACCTTTATACTTGGCTCAAGAAAACTTCATGTTATGTAGAATCATCACACCAAATTTCATCAAAATCGGTTCGATAGATTTTGCAAAATAATTTTGCAATCCAGATTAAAAAAAAATGCAAATTTTCAAAATTTTACACAGCAAAAACCAAGGCCCTTAGATACTTGAAAATTTAATCACATATAGAAGGGCTCTCAGGCTTTCAAACTTTTTTTGAAAAATTCAAATCCGTCAATTAGGAGAGCTCTAGCGCTTGTTTAAACATTGGTCGAATTTTTGTACTTATAAACAATTAGAACTTTGTGAATATTTAATCAAATCTTCGCTTCTTTAAAAAAAAAACAGATCGATTGATCAATTAGTTACGTAGTTATAGACGATTCAATTTCGAGCAGGCCGAAGCGGCCGCGCTCTCTGCTTCCCCCACCACCACCACCCGTACGATTTTATTGAATTTCTCGCTTGCATAAATAACTTTAAACATGTTTTAAAGTAGGTTGCCAATGAAGAAAAGTATTGTAATCTTAGACCTGGTAAGTACTCGGAATACCAAAGGTATTTTTCGAAAAATTAGCCCGGATGTCCCAGTACATTTAGTGTAAATGACGGCTATAACTACGTAACTAATTGATCAATCGATCTGTTGTTTTAAAAAGAAGCGTCTTTCCAAGAACTTTTAAAACCTGCTTTAAAAAATTTGATTTGATCGAATATTCACAAAGTTCTAATTGTTCATAAGTATAAAAATTCGACCAATGTTTAAACAAGCGCCAGAGCTCTCCTAATTGACGGATTCGAATTTTTCAAAAAAAGTTTGAAAGCCTGAGAGCCCTTCTATATGTGATTAAATTTTCAAGTATCTAAGGGCCTTGGTTTTTGCTGTGCAAAATTTTTAAAATTTGCAATTTTTTTTTATCTGAATTGCAAAATTATTATGCAAAATCTGTCGAACCGATTTTGATGAAATTTGGTGTGATGATTCTACATAACATGAAGTTTTCTTGAGCCTAGTATAAAGGTCCTACACCCAATTTAAATACACCAAAAAAATTCCCTAAAAAGTATTGTTTTTTAACCCCATTTTTGTGATTTTTTCGATTTTTACCATAATAATCATGATTCATTCAATTTGTAACCAGTCATGTATTATAAAAAATTTAATTACAAACATTTTTTCCTCTTCCATTTTCGCCTAAAATCAACTCTTAAAAAGATACATAATTAAATCGGAAGAAAAATATAACAGTTTTCCAATTTTTTTAACATATTGTGCCGTCAAAAGTTAAGCCCACGTTTTTTTATGCGCATAGAAAAATTTTAATTTCTAGTGATATTTGAAAGCCAAAAAGCCAAAAATCTCCGTGGGTATACGATTCACCCAAGCCAAAACAGATACCGCCTGGTCTATATTAGTAATAGTGAAATATTTTGACATTTGAGACAATTTGTTTAAATAGGATCTAGTTCAATTAGATTAATCTTAACACATGACGATTTGGGATCAAATATGATTTTGTTAATAAACTACCTATTGTTATAATTTTTTACGATGTGCATATTCACGAAGTATGAAGACCTAACAGTTGATTACAATTGGTTTTTAAGGTGCTTTGACGACAATGTTACTAAAATTGTTATGGTTCTTGGATTTTTATGCATGAACGAGGGATGAATTTTATGAAAAAAGAACTAAAGACGAAAATTTTGATGGGAAATTTGTACTAATTTTCAACTGTGCATCTTCAACTGTTCTTAAATAATTTTGAACTGTTTCAAGTCACATGAAAGACATTAAATTCATTAAAAATAGTAAAGCACGATCCCTCTGTTGTACAATGTATAAACTGTCTCTTACTTTTAGTCATAAAATAGGTACGATGGAATAATATCAGAATAATTTCAGGACAAAGTAAATATCCACTGGGGAACTGACAACAAAATGGGTTGGTCAAAAAAAGTAATACACTGTGATTTTTTACATATCGAGGAAGTAAATCAGAGATTTGTACCAAAAAGAACCTTTAGCGTTTAGCGTAACATGAACCCTTCGTTGATACGGTCGGAAGAAGTTGGTTGGTGTGAAGGTATATGACATACGCTAAAGGTTTTTACTTAAGACTGGCGTTTTATAGACAATAAATCGCACTTTTCGTAAGACGATGATAGAACAAGCAGATCCATCCAGGAAGTGACGAAGCATAACGCTAATTTTTCGCATTGAAAGATCACGGAGAACATGTAAACATCAGCAAATGTACCTTTCCTATTTTGTCCAACAAATTTGTATAGATACTCAATAATTGTGATTAATGCATGTATTAATAATTTCCTAAAAGCATACTTTGATGTGTGATAGTGTTTATAGTGCCGCAAACGATTTTCTGTATAAAAAATAAGGAAACTTATACAACTGATACCGTGAAAATAAATTGTTTGAAATTTTTTGAATAAAATAAACCGGGTTTCCCAAAAAAACTCTTGGTTGTTCTTATAGATGATTGAAATTAAATGATTTTAATGTATATTTTTAAATATCTTGCTTAAATGCATATCCTACTGGGAGAATTGTACCTAGTAGAAGAGCATGCATTGTCAAATACAGATACGTGACTAGAGCTTTCCTTATTGTTTTAAATTTTTTATGTTATATTTTTTAGTAAACCCACTATTACGCGAAACAGACGCAGGTGGTCGTTTCCAAGACGAACTATTTTAATGTCCTCTGACGACAATCCATAAATTACACATTATGTAACAAACAAACTTTGGAAGCAACAAAAGCAAATAATACACAATTAAAAAAAAAAGTTTTAAATATTCCGTAGTTGCAAATTTGATAAATAAGTTAATTAATTGGGCAGTCACGCCGCAAAAATAAATATGTTTATCTAAACATTGCGTCAATACGTATATTTTTTTGGGAAGCTAATTTATCAACTTCAAATAATAGGTCTCTTTATTTTTTATGTTGTTTAGTCACACTGGAAGAAAAGAATGCCTACATAAAATGTTTATAATTAATAGCTACTTATTTTACCACGTGTATATCATATGCAGAACATTTGTTTAAATCATAACTTTAAAAAGTTGTCTTTGAGTCGTTTTAGATCAGAAAACCTTAAATTAAACCAAGGATCTAAGGCTAGTGAGATTGTTGAAATTTAAAACATCTCTCATTTATTCAAATATCTCTAAAGGTGATTGATTTAAGTTGATGAAACATGGGTTAAGGATTTAGATAGTTACAGGCAAAAAATTTTGTTACTGAATTTTGGAAATAACCTAATTATGCGGAGAACCAGCCACGTTTTTTGATAGATATTTAAATTACAATGCAAACTTATTACACAAGTTTGATTAATCTTTAGATATTTGCATAATGATATGCATAAAAAACCGGAATCTCAACAATTAAGCTGATTAAAGGAGTACGTTTATAGGAACTTTTCTCTTTGAGACTATCTAAAGAATCACCTCTTTAATATCGAAATATACCTACACTCTTTGATACAGACGTTGGTAAATAATTATTTAAAAAAATTATAAAAATGTTGTAATGAAAAACACACACTTGTCATGTTTAATTTGTAAAACATTATTTATTTGTTTATCTACGTCCGTTCAGCAGTACAACAACAGCAATTAAAAGATGGGAGTACTAATTAAAATAATTGGAGTACGACAAACCTTCAAGGAATCCTATTCTTGGTCTTAGTTATGACATCCATTTAACTCGAAATATTTAATGACTTCATTATATGAGGCACGTGTTTTTTAGATAATTAATTCGCAGGTATCTGCTACCACATAGTACACCTTCAGTTTATTAAATAAATTTCAATTGACGCAATATCTTATCTTTAAAGTAAAGTAAAAAATAAATTGTTACATCGAAATGCAAATAAGGAATATCTGTTTAATATTTTATCTATGCTCTTTACAGAAGCTATAAAACTGAAGTAACTAAAGTTTACGGAGCATTACAGATGTATAAAATTTAAAAAAACTTATACTATTGCCATTTATATTAATAAAAGAAAATTGTCGTGTTTACAATTTATTCCAGTACGTTGTGTATATCTTGCGTTATTAACATTATGCTTATTCTCTGGTAGACCTGTACGATATTTGTTTCAATTGCATTAAAAAATTAAACGTTCATTTAGCTTTTTACGGGCGCCAAATGAGGAGATTGTATTCTTTGCAATAAGTACAGCATTTGGAACTAGCAATGCACAAAAAACATTAGCATGTGCAGGAAATGGATTATTTGATAATTTTTGAAAGCATACGTGTGCAAAAATATAAAATTCCACGTATTTCGAAATTATAATGCATCGTGCGTAACCTAATCTCATCATTTTTAGTGACTATTTCGAACACATTTTTGTTTTTTCATTTTTTTATTAATGGTTTTATAGTTAGTGGAAATTGGCTCGTTTTTCGAATAAAGTGACCTTTTTTCTCAGCATATATTTCAAATATATTTGAATAAACGTGATAAAAATAGATAATAAATACAAAGAAACCAGCAACAGAAATGTCATTGCTCTCTATGGTGATTAATTAGTCTATCAATTTGCCCCTATGCGTAAGCTGCCGATATTAAATTATTTCACATTATTCGCCCGTGTATTTACCTAAATACCATCGACGCAATGTTAGATATACTTATTGTCGTTAAGTCTTTTTTTATGTTAATTTATCTACCACAAAATTACGTGCTAATAAAGGACAATTTCTAAATTCAATAGATCTACAAACGCGTGTAACGCTTTTTGCTTTATTGTTTTTGTACTAATATAAAGCAGTTCTAGAATATTTTATTCTAATATCTATCAATGCAATAAATATATGGACAGATATATTAATATTTAATAAACTATTATTTAAGGACTTTTTACAGTTAGAAGAAAATAATTATGCAAAATAATTTACCATCATGAATACCATTAGACTTCACATTAATGAATCAAAATTACATTTTTTTTGTCAGTTTTGGAACTCGACATGCTGGTGTATATTTATTGACTTCTGTAGACAAAAGTTATGACATTGATAGATCTCATAAGTCGACATTTTAATACAATATACTGTTTGTGATATAATTTGTAAGACATACAGGATGTACAGTTAATCCTAGAGGCAAAAGAACATAGAAAAATAAGATTTTTTTCAATGAACTATCAACTTTTGTTCTTAAGACAGGGCGTTAAATTTTATTATTTATAAGAAAAACTAAACATATATTGAAATTTGATAGTCATATGTTTTGAAAAGCTTTAAATAATCTGATTTAATTAGTTTTAAGTAAATTATGAGACATTTGTAATTTTGCAAATCAATGGTATTTTTTTCACAATTTTTTGAGGTTAGAATTTTGGGATCCCTAGTACCATTTTCTTACGTGTTTTATATTTTAACACAAAAAACACACTTTCAATAAACTTCGCAAACCACTTCGTTTTCGGGAAGAAAACACAAATTTGAAGGTTCTGGTAAACTTGTGTAATTTTTCCAAATATGTAATACAAGGAAACAAATTGAAATAGTATTCGCTTTAGGCAGAAGAATAAATTTACTGAGTCGCAAAAATTGTAATATTTTGTTGTTTATGTTAAATGACAATTTTTTCACATTATGGATTGTAGAATCTATAAATTTTGTTTTTTTTTGTGGAATACCTCGTTTATTTTTCGGTTCCCGCTTATGGTGACTTTTAATTTTAATTTTTTATTCAATGTACAGCAAAATACAAAAATAAATTCCGGGCTAATAATTGCTAATAAAGACGAAAATTACCATGAATTGCATTCATATTTTTTCATATAGAAACACTCCGCATACTGAGTGTTTTCAATTCCTTGTCATAACATGTACTTTGGCTCATTTTAGGCCAAAAAACCTCAATGAATTTGGTGTCTAAAGCCACTGGTGTTGAGTTAAAAAATATATAGGTACTTACGTAAAATTTCTTCAAATTTATTGTACGGAGATTGATGAAACCAGTGGCGCAGATATCAGAAGGTAGATACTGTTCGAAAATTCAGAAGTTCCACGTCAATGAAATTTTTAGAAATTAGATTTGTTCATTTTATTCATATTTAATTTTTTAAGACATTTCGTTCGGAAAATGAATGATTTTGGTATTACTATTTTTTTAAATTGTGGATTAGCTTACTGCGCAGTTGAATAAATCGAAAGTAATTTCAATTATATTCGTTTCATAAAAAATATTTTCATCATAATAAAATGTAAAAAAATATTGCAAAATAAATTTTTAATTTTATGAGAAATTCATACAAAATTTAATATTTTCATACTAATGATTTTTTTATGACTTTCATAATAAGAGTGTATTTAGTACTTTGATTTTAACAAAAAATTTACATATATTTTAAATTTATTCAAATGTATTTGATTTTATTATGACTTTAATTAAGAAAAAACATACCTAGAAATATATCGTTTTTCGAATAAAATGGATAGATATCTTTTTTCTTTGAAATACAATTAAGAATCAAATAACTCCAAGAAATTTTCAAAGAATTTTGGGTTTAATTGGTTGACATATTTGCAAAATTTTTATACATTTGCATTAACAATTTGTCCAAGTTTTCATCAATCTACGTAAAATATATTCAGAGATATTTGAAAAAATATATTTTTTTTGCAACACTCAAACCTGGGACACCTGTTTTGGCCTAAAACGATCCAAAGAATACTTTCCTGATGTTATACCACGGACTTAAAATATGTTCTGCATTTTTACTAGCATGCAATAAATTTTATACCCCTTTCTAAATTCTTGTGAAATAATATAATAAAGTCATGAATACATTGCAAGCAACTAGATTTCTTTTTTTTAATTGTTGTACTAAATTCAGGAAGAGCTAATTTTTTCATATGCCTATTTACAATTATTTTTCATGAAAATTACGTTGTATATTGCCTATAACATAAAAACAATACTATTTTCAGCAATTTTTACACCAAAAATATAAAAAAAAACATATATCAACGTTCCTATCCTAAACTAAATACTTGAACAGTATGAACTGATCATAAACTAAAACAAAATTACTTACGCTAGAATTCACAACCTATTCAAATAGGATCGATTATCAGCAACTGAAGATTAAAACAACCTGGAATAGATTTTATAGTCAGATATGTCCGTCAAATTAACATACAATTTTCAATTAGATTTGTAAGCTATTCCGTTGCATTATTTCAACTAAGCTTAGGACATCCATTGTTATCAAGAACTAGGGCTGTTTAAAATAAGTATACCAAGGCTAACAATAAGTACTGTTTATCAATATTTCTGGCTCATTATAACAACGATTAGAATTTAAATTATGGGAGTCAATTATCGTGCTTTTAAAAATGTATTATCTGTAATTACTTTTCTAATTAATAACTATCACATTCTTCTAATTTGCGTCAATGAATTAGGTAAATACGGGTTTTTCTCCTGAAAAATTAATATTGTGTATGTAGAAGGTTAAGGAAAAGATAGAAGAAAGGTATACAAGTAAAGGAAATCATTATATCTATATAGTAATGTTAATTCAGAATAATAGCTATTAAAAAAAGAGAAAAATTGCAGAAACAACCAAATAGAATTCTTTTTAGAATTATCAAAAGAACTGAAACAAGGAGAACAAGAAAGGTAACGGGTGTAAATCTTGTCAGTGATTAATTTGCTTCTTAAAATCATTGAATATTAATATTGCATATATTACGTAATTCAATTCATCACATTTGTTGGTTGATTGTCGATGACAAACTATATTTTTAGTTATTTATACACATAAAAAACTAAAAACTCTTTTCCATCTCCTGGTTGAAGAGAAAAACGTTTTTGTTGTGAAAATGTTTATTACGAGTGTATTTTTAAAAGAGAACAGAAAATTTAGAGCTGGGTTGAATCTACTGTACTATCTACAGGGTTTTCCACCTAAGAGAGATTCTTCTGTAACTCTGTAACTGTAAAATTTATAAAAGAAAATGGTTGTAATAAAAGTTGTCTGGAATTCCTTGGTTAACTTTAGGTAGAGTTTATTAAATGTACATGGTGTTTAGAACTTACCGTTTTCGAGATAATCAGTTGTTCACGATTTCAGCTCTCTAAATGAGGCTAGATAGTGTCTAAACCATAAGAGTTAGAAACTTGCAGTTTTCACAATTCGTTTTGGCATAAATTACTCTATCTTGTTATCTGTGAGCAAAACGTGTACGTTATTCAGACTCGGAAATACTGAGACCTAGGTACATTTAATAATCTTACGAGTTGATTTTTTTTTTTTCAAATGGAATGACCCATATTAATTGTCATGGGTGAATGCAAAATTGAATGCCCTTTCGGCCGAAACACGTTAACTGATTTTGATTTTTTCCCATATTTCGGTTATATAATAATTAATTTTTCTTCAACCCCCTAACCCCCAGCTACCCCTACTTTTTTGTTTAACATGGAAACATAAGGCATGAGGCGGTTCGTTGAAAAGCTTATAGAAAACCCAATCCAGCCATGCCAAATAAACAAGATTTATTTTTTCAATAACAAGTTTTTTTTTCATCTGAAAATTGAAACAACTAGATAATTTACAAAAATAAACTCAATGTCGCAAATGCCGAAAATTTCCTCCATTCACTATTTGGCATTCTCCAAAACGATAGTAAAAGCTGTCCACATCATTCTGAATGACTTCAGCTGGTAAATTATGCATCTCCGCCCTAATCTTGTTCTTTAAATTCTCAATATTATCCGGTCTGTCCTGGTAGACTCTTTCTTTCAAATATCCCTAAAGAAAATAATTCAAGTTAAGTCGGAGGATCTTGGCGGCCATTTAAATAAAGTACGTCTCGTTGAAAACCATTATTGTCATCGCACCGTCCCATCATTTCCTCACAAAATTGTAATCGCCTATCATAATCGTCTTCCAAAAGCTCTTGGACAAGACATACCTTATAGGGGTGGTATTTTTCTTGTTTCAGAAACATTCGAATTGCAGTTCGAGAAGCATCGTGATTGCAGGCCAATGGAACAGTTGAAGTATGAGGATTTTCTAGTTCTAATGCAATGTCTAATTTCTTTTCTTCATTCAAAGCACGTGCCCGTCCAGTTTTGGGCAAAGTCTATACTGTACCGTGTTCCTCAAATTTGTGAAGTATTTTACTAACTGTCCCTTGCGAGATTTGGTTTTCGGGATATTTCGCATTAAATAAATCGCGCACTTCAGCCTGACTTCTTATTTTGTCTCCACATCCAAGCAATATCAAGATTTCGATGCGTTGCCTTTCCGACAATACCATTGCAATTCAGTAAATAACTTGATTTTGACATAGTACAGTAGTAACGTTTCTAACTCCAATTTACAACTAAAGCGAAAAATTAACCAGAAAACCTGGCAAGTAAGTGGTGCCAAAAAAACACAACATAAAAAATATATCTTTTTTGCGTTAGCATTGATAGGTACAGTTTCAAATTCTTTATTTTATTCTGCGCAAATTCATGGAGTATAACACTGAAGATAATTAAATTTTATTTCATTTGTTAAGTAGGTGTTTTATACAACCCTAAAAACCTTGCTATTGAAAAAATAAAACTTGTTTATTTGGTATGGCTGGATTCGATTATCTATAAGCTTTTCAACTAGCCCCCACATGCCTTATGTTTCCATTTGAAAAAAAATGTAGGGGTAGCTGGGGGTTAGGGGGTTGAAGAAAAATTAATTATTATATAACCGAAATATGGGAAAAAATCAAAATCAGTTAACGTGTTTCGGCGTTTTAAAAAAAAATAACTCATTCAAAAGATATGAATTTTATTCCGTACTTCTGGCCATCCCTGTATGTAGATTGCAAAATGCCTAGTTTCCGGATAACAGGATTTTCATCATTGGGTTAAACTGGACTGGACTTTAAAACTTTTGTACTAAAATATCCCTCGTGTATTTTTTAATTGCTCTTTTTCGAGTACAAATGTTTCGAACTGTGATAACGATAACAAAATTATTTTCTGTTTTCAATAATTACACTTTTAATAATTTTTAATATGTAACATTACAATTCTAATATGTTTTTTTGTCATATAGTCATGAGAAATAAATATTCACAACTTCTGCGATACGAAAGTGATCTTTTTCTCTCTGTGGATGAAAATATGTAGCAGTGGCACTTGATTTAAATTTAGATAATTTTTATTCTGCTATCTTTTCACAAACTACTTTTTATACATAGTTTTTAGTTCTTTTTTGATCTCCTGTTGCCGAAGTTAAAGGATGTGAACATAAAATAAGATATACAACAAGAGAAGGATAATAAATTAGATAAAATTACAAATATCTGGAAATTCAAAAAAAAGTAGAATAACTCGCTTTCTTTGCCAAATAGGATTCAAATTGATGGTCGACTGAAGAACTTTACATATTCGTAGGATAGGTTGCATAAAATAGGGATCTCTTAACATTTAATTCTTTTATTTATTATGTAACATGTATAAACAAAAAAAACAGAGACTTACATAATGCAAAAAATTCGCAATAAAGGTTTTGCAAAATAAACAGGTACAAGTGAAACTTAATTATTAAATCACATACGTTGTGACATTCTTTTTTGAGAACACAATATAGGTAACAAACAATGAACAATAGAGGTCATTATCAACTAATAATTCTTAAGGTTCTATTAGCTGCTGAGTCCAGTCTATGATCAATTTCATAAAAAGAAATACTAAATAGTTGTTGGAACAGCAATTTGGAAAGAATACCAATTAGTATATCACATCATTATACCATTTAAACTTTTCTGACTCCTAATAATTTAAATCCTGTTTTTATTTACTACAATTATCCGTAAAGTAACTACCTATCTAAATATGTAATCAGTAGAGTGTGACTTTTACGTGTGAATCTAGTGGCGTCACTAAGATATTTAAAAATACTTTTGACCATGCTGAATGTAATAAAATAAACTTACCAACGTCTCTTTCTGTTGCAAGTAAAAGGTGAACCTTTGTAGATAACTGTATCATTAAAATGATTTCTGCAGTGATCACCTTCTAGATTTATCGGTGAAAAGTGTAACATAGTTTGCTTTGCCCAAAGGCTAAAATGCCTTGTATTTTTTCTATTATCTCTAGTGTCACTACAGTTATCCACATTTTTCTTCCATTTCTCGCTACTACATAAAACAAGGCATAGTAATTGTTTCAAAAACTTTTCAGTCTAACATTTAAATCCCGTTTATGGATACTTTATTGTATATTTTACATAATATAACCCAAAAATAATATTCTAAATTCTAGACTCGCATCATGCATATGATCAATTATAATTATTATTAAATTTGCATCTGCTCGTATAATATAAAAGTTAATCGTGTTACAGCTGACAGTAGTAATTATCGATAGTTGTATTATCGGTATCGATAGATAATTACTTGTAATATTTATCATATTAATGTCTTTATTATTAAATGACATTTTGGCAACCACTTATTCTTTTAGTCCTAATTAAAGAAACTGTACACCTACATAAGTTTTTTGACTCTGTTTGGCAATTTTGCAACTTCTAAAATCAAAATAATAATTGTGTACAGAACAGATTCCATCTCTATAGTTCTCGTATTATATATGTCCACTACAGTTTTTAAAATTTCAGTACACTGAAAATATATGTGAAGAAAGTTCTTCTTGTTAATGTTGCTAACGTTTTTGTAAATCGATCGGAAGTGGTCGTTAATAGAACACTTTTTACAAATAATTGCAATTTAAAGAAATTGCAATGAAAATTATTTCTGTGTGAGTGATAATTATATCATAACAGAAACTCAAAGGTTAGACAGCATGCCTACTATTGGTCCCTGCAAATATCTCATCAACAGAAGCTGAAAAATAAACAATAAACCTCTTTCGAAGCATAATCGATCAGATCTGTCAACGTTTTTGAGCAAAAAGGGGGAATTAAGAGAAAGTTTCAGTGGTCATTGATCTTGACATTAAATTAAAATAAAAGAAAGGATAATGAAATCCATGAAGTCTTTAATTGTAAGGAATAATCATAAGGTTAGGTTAGGCCTATTAAAACTAGTCAAGTAGTTCTACATTAATTTTTCGCATTTGTTTCACGAACACCCTATATCAAAATGCTAAAGTGCTTCTTTTTATCCCAAAGTTATAGAAGAAATCAGTTAACAGTTTTTTAATAAATTAGCTTTGCCTACAATCAAAAATAGAAAAGCTTTGTATCTTCTAGCAATATTCCATGGATA